AGATCAGGCTTTCTGATTGGCTGACGCCTAGGACTGCTCTTCAGCAGAGTCCCACGAATACACCATCGCCTCGAACGCCAAGACTCTCAGAGAGTTTTCTACTTGGCTTTTGTTCCTGACGCCCACCCCCATCCGCCCTACCCCCCACGCCCACCGGGCTTTGCACCGTTCTTCAGCTAAGGCTTCTGCATGCAGCCTCACCACCACAGCGCCTCTGCACCCTAACATTTCACCTTCCCCTGATGCCTGGGTCGTCACTAGGAGCCACCGTGACTAGCTCTGGGGAGGAGGTGGGAGACCAGGAAAAACGGGGTGAGTGAGTCATTGCAGGAGTAGCCGGGGACGAGAATGCTGCGTGCGCCTGCGAGAGGCCGGGAGGCAGCCACGCAGCAGTGGGGGACTACCTCTCAGGACGCACGGCCTTCGGGAGCAGCAGCCATCAGTGTCCTCAGCCTGCTGTGTTTAGGCCAGCATGGGAACATGAGGCCTGCTCTGGAGACCCAGAAAAGGGGTCTCCGGAGCAGGGGAGTCAGTGCAGTCCTGGGGTCACAGGACCTGGGTTTGAGTTCAGCTCAGCCACCGCCCGGCAGGCGGCCCTCAGTAAGTCTGGTCCCCTTCCTGTGCTTTCCTCATCGGTGTGAAGAGAACAACGCTCCCTGTGCTAGGGGCGAGAGCGATTACGAAGCACCCCGTGGGTGAGGGCCGCGCAGTGACCGCGCCTCCGTTGGCGGGCGCATCGTTCTCCTCCCTGCCCAGGCAGGACCGGCGTGCTCCCACTCTCCCTCACCCCTCCCGTCTGCGTCACCCCTCCGCCCCGGGGCCTGCATGCCCACTCTTCCAGAACTGGGAGGCAGAGGCGGCCTTACCGGTAATAGGAAGTTGGCCGGGGCGGGGCATCGGGGGTGTCCTGCTCCAGCTCTCTGTACACCACCTCCGGCAGCTTGGGGGTGGTGCTGGCAGAAGCGCTGTGGTGGTGGTGGTGGTTAGAGTCCTTCCGCTTCTCCTTGTTCTTGTGCTTGCCAGACTTGGGCGTCGCAGCCGGGGTCTCAGTGTTCTCCTTGTTGCTGCCGTTTTCGGGGGCCTCCTCAGGGACCTCCTCATCCTCTGACACCACATCCAAGTTGTCAAAGATGCTGATGCGGTGGACTCGGCCGTGCAGGTCCACTTCCACCATGCGCTGGGCTTGGGCGTAGCTCATCACCTCACGGCCTGGTGACTGGGACACCTCTGAGGGGCTGGGTGACTGCTTGTTAGCGGGGCGTGACTGGCGCCCCTTCTTCTTGTGCTTGCGGAGCGGCGTCTGCTGTGGGGGCGGTGGGTTGTCGTGATCATAGTGGTACAGGTGGTACTCGATACCACTGTAACTCTTGTAGACCTTGCGGCAGGTCTCCACGGGGCACTCATACGGTGGCTTAGTTGCCCGCAAGTTGTGGCAGAAAGTCTTCACGTCGAAGTCCACCCCCATGCTGTCACATCTAGAACGGACAGATCAGTTAGCAGAGGCCAGGGAAAGAGTTCCAGGGGGCCCACCCCACTCCCTCCCTTTACAGGGTCTCCAGATGTCACCTCCACACTGTGGCCTCATCACCTCTTGCCCGGTCATTCTGCCCTATCTCTCAACTCTTCCAGTCTCACAGAATGTGGCCAGGATGATCTTTCCACCAAGCAGTAGCGATCAGCTCAATCATTTGATCCAAAGCCTCCTCATGCTCCCACTTTCTTCAGAATAACCAACTCCCTATGCTGACATCCAAGGTGCTTCCTTTAATGTCTGGTCCTAGTCTTTCCAGACTCCTCTAGTCTTCCAGGCCCCTAGTCTTGCTGTTCGCAGCGATGCTTCTGACTACCCAGGGCAACCTGCCCTTCCCTGACTGTTGCAACCTCTTATTCCTGCACAATGATCTGTTTGGAATACTTTCCATCTTCTCTGGCCACTGAGCTTCTACTTATTCTTCAAAACTTGGCTCAAATATCACTTCTTCTGTTATGACTTATCTGTCTCTCCCATGGGGAGCTGTTTCCAGAGCATTCCATTTCCACCTCCACCAGGGCACTTATCACACTGGAAGTTCTTTGTCTTTTCCCACGAGCTGGGGAGCTGTGGAGCGCAGACACCGGCGCCCACCCACCTCTAGTCCCAGTACCTTGGGTGCGTTGGACACTCAGTTTTGGGCAAAAGCATGAATAACCTACTGAGTGTGTGGCTGAATAAGGGAGTCAGCCCACTGGGAGTTGAAAGGGGGTGACTAAAAGCAGCGTGAGCCCATGGAGCAGCCAGCGAGTTAGTCCTGGACTTCAGCGGGAATCACTGGAGAGCAGAAAGATTTAGTTCATTTCTAAGGTCTTTGGGGGACGCCTACACCCTGGCACTCGCGCTGGGAGCAAGGTGGGGACGCACTATGGACTCAAGTGACAAGCGAGGTCACTTGGCGACAGCAACGTGCTCTACATCGAACTTTCCATTCATCTATTCCTGCAACATCAACTCAGCGGCCACCTAGTGCCATGCCCTGAGGGGACAAAAAGAAACAAGGATCCAGGCACACTGAGCTCCGGGCTGGTTCTCGGGGCCCTCCCTTCTTCACCCACGTTCCTGGCCTGGGCGCGAGGAGACAGCAGATGGCACCAGCCCCGGGAAGCCCAGCTTGGCCCCAGACGAGCGCGCTGTCCCCAGGCCTCCCGGGCTGACCAGCGCGGCCGGGGGCTCGCCCCCCGCCGCCCCGCATCTCTGACAGCGGCCCCTCTCGCGCGCTCTCCTCGGGGGCCGGCCCGGGCGGGGGCCCCGTCGAGGGCCCCGGCGGCCACGAAGGTGCCGGGCCGCCTCCACCTCCCGCGCGGGCGCGCCGCCCGCCCGCGTCCCCGCACCCCGCCGCGGCGTAAACAAGCGCCCCCGGCGCCCCCGGGGAGCGCGCGGCCCCGTCCCGGCTCCCCAGAGCGGGGCCCGCGGGGCCCCGGGAGGGCGGCGCGGCCCCGGGGCGCGAGCACAGCCCCGCGAGCCCGCGGGGGCCCGGGCCGCGCACACCCCTGCCCGCCGCGGCGCGGGGAGGCGGGCGGCGCCCCGCCCGGGGCCGGGGTCAGGGCCCGCCCGGCCGCCGCCGCGCCCCCGCCCGCCCGCCGCACTCACCGGCCTCGGCGGGTCCGGGCTCATGCCGGAGGCGCCCGCGGCTCCGACCCCTCGGGGAGGCCGGCGCGGAGGGCGGGCCGGGCGCCCACGCTGAGGCCGCGGCCGCGCCGCCCGGGCCCGGCGCCGGGTTCCCGCGCTGCCGCCCGCCGCTCCCGGGCCCGCCGGCGCCGGGTCTCCGCCCGCCGGCCGCCGCCCGCTCGCAGAGCCCGGCCGGCCGCGCGGGCCTCGCCGGAACAATGGGGCCCGCGGGGCGCGGGACGCGGCGGCGGCGACGGTGGCGGCAAAGGCTCTGGCGGCGGCGGCGGCGGCGGCGGCGGCGACGGCGGCTGCGCAGGGTAAACGCGGCGCCGCGGCGCCCCGGGGCGGCACTTTCGCCACGGACGCCCGCCCGCCGCGGCGGCTCGCGAGGGCGCGGCCGGGGCCGCGCGGGGCCCCGGGCCCCCGCCGCGCCCCCGGGCGCCCCCATCGGCGCGCCGCGCCCCCGGGGGCCGGCGCCGCGGGCCGGGGCCCCCCTCGGCGGGCCGTTTGTGGCGAATCTGCGGCCGCGGACGGGCAGCGCGGCCGGGCGGGAGGAGCCCGCCCTTCTCCCCTCCCCGCCCCCCTTCCTCCCGCGGGCCGCTGCGGCGGGGCCCGGCCGCGCTCCCAGGGAGGCGGCGGCGGGGCGGGGCGCGGGCGGGCCTGGGGGCCGGGCCGCGGGCGGGGGGGCCGGAGCCCGGGGGGCCGCGGGCTTCTGGGAAGGGGCGGGGCCGCGGCGGGGCGGGGCGGGGCCCGGTGACGCGGGGGCGGGGCCCGGCGGGAGGGGCGGGGCCCGGGCGGGGGGGAGCGCGGGGCGGGGGCGCCGGGGACGCGCCGGGCGCGGCGGGGCGGGGGCGTCTGTGGCGGCCGCCCGGGGTCGCGGGCGCGGGGGCGCCGAGGGGCGGGGCGGGCGCGCCCCGAGGGAGGCTCGGGCCCCGGAACGGGCGCCTCTCGGCCGCGGGCTGCGGCTGGAAGGTGGCGTCTGGGCCGGGCCGCTCGGGCTGTGCGAACTCGGGCCGGCCGCGGGTCTGGCTTCACGCTCTGTGTCTGTCGAAGGGAGCCCGGGAGCGCGTCCGCCCGTGGGAGCCCCGAGAGCGACTGTCACTTGCTAGTCGCACTCGCTTCCCGGCCCCTCCCACTCCACCAGGGCTGGGGGGCAAAGCCCACGACGTTTGGGAGCTTCTGCTTCTGTTTTCGTGCAGACCTCAGGTCCCGCCCACTGAGTCACCTGCTTCCAGACGCAGGTGCGAGACCAGGTCAGCACACCTGCAAGTTACCTGCTGATTGAGATCTTGGGAGCTGGAGTCCAACAAATGCATTCTCTGGAATAAATGATTCCACCGCTCTGAGCCTCAGTTTCCTCGTGTGTAAAAGGGGGGTAAAGTCCAGTGTTGACCTCGGGATTGTTGCGGATTTAATCAGATGATGCTTGTGAATCACCTGCCTAGTGCCTGATACCTAGCTAATACCCAAGGCAAAAAAATGTGTCCTTCTATTCTATTATCCTCATTTAAAAACTCAGTCAATGGACCAGAACAGAGATACACAGTCATCTTAGAGCTGACACCTGTGAAGTCAGGATCCCTTTGAACATCTGGCGAAAGTTATGGACATCTGTCCTTAGGGGAAAAAATACACGGTTTCACCTATCATTTCTTTATCATTTAAGGTGTTTGAAGACTGAGGAAATGACGGGATGAATGTGTTGGGGTGGGGATGAACAGAGCTGAAACCATCCTCACTCCCCCTTTCTCTTGGTGTGGCCACAGACCCTGGGCGCCCAAGTCTCCCTCCCCAAATTCCACAAGACAGAGTGGAGTAAAGATCAGCTTTATTATTGTGTGACGGCAGCAAGGTGGTGACAGTGGCAGGCCCTTCTGTGGACAAGGGGGTGGAGTGCTTGACCAGCCGGCACCGACCCTCCAATCTGGCCTCCCAGGGAGGTCCAAGGCTCTGGGTGCCTCTGGCCTTCAGCAGAAGCAGTGGGTAGACAGGTGGGCAGACTGCTAGGCATAGGGTAGGTGAGATCCTCAGAGTTGCTCTGGAGCTGGGGTTGGGCTGGGGCTGGCAGGGGGCGGGGGCCGAGGCTGAATGTCCCTGGTACGCATATAGGACAGAAGTTGCTCCGGGATCTCGGCCAGCACATCCTTGGCCAGTCGGGCCATGCTCAGCACCTGGTTCCCCGACCGGTCGACATAGTCTCGGAATGGGACAAACTAAGACAGTACAGAAAATCAGGTGTGGGGAGTAGCCAGGAGAGGGGCCTGAGGGAGGAGGCAGCAGGGAGACTTCCTCCTTGGCTCCTAACATAGCTTTCCAAATGTCACACTCTCTCTCCCCCTCTCCTGCATGGTTTTCTAATTTACTTTCTCCCCAGTTACTTTTTTCCCCACCTTCTATTCATCCTCAACTGACTCCAGCCTGGCTTCACACAGCCTCCTGGAACTGCTCCTGATGCGGTCAGCCGTCCCATGTTGCCAATTAGTCCCGTGGGCAATAATTGTCAGTCCTTATCTTGCTTGATTTCTCTTTATCTTTCCATTACATTTGCCCATAATCTTCTGGGATACACCCCACTATGGACACGTCACCCTCTTGCTCTCCCCCAGCCACCGTCCTCTAGATCTACTGATCTCTAAACATGGCCCCTTCCCGCTCTTTCCTCTGTGGTTTCAGATACTTTCATGATTTGAAAAACGGTTCCCTGATGATTCGTATATTCACCTCTGGCCTCTTTTTAACCGTCCAGGGTCCCACATATTTAGTTGCGCGTGACGCATCTCTATTCAGTTGGCCCAATCCAATAAATGGGCCTTCAGTCACTCAGCTGCTCAGGCTAAAAAACTTGAAACCCCCACACTCACATGGTCATTTCATCCAGTCATCAACTCCTTAAGATTTTCTTCTTAAAAATCTTTTGAGCTGGCTACTTTCAAATCTTTTAGAAAGGCCCCAGATTTTCATCACGACCGGCAAGGCCTCTGCTCCCCTTCCCTGTCCTCGCACTGTGATCCTGCCACCCCGGCCTCTTGATTGGGCCGGTTCTTCCAACCTCTGCCTCATACCCTCCATTCGGTGCCAGCTCACATTCCATTTCCTCGTTTCCTTCCCTAACTGCGGGGCTAAGGCAGGGCCCTGTGGTAGAGTCTGACAGTTGATTGCTACTCCTCTGGACCACTCAGCACCCTCTAATGAGGTGTCTAGCTGTGTGATTATCCTTGGCTGCCTCCACTGGAGGGCCGGGGCCTGGAGCATCTCCTACACTATGGATCCTCCATGGCTTCAGCAACCTGCCTGTATTTCAGAAAGAATTAGTTCAATGCGTGGAAGAAGGTTGCAAGAGCGAGGGGAAGGAAGGTCAGTGACTGAGAAGACAGTAAGACTGAGTGGCTCCGGATCTAGCCTCTCCCCGCACATGCCCCTGTGCTCTGGCTTCCTCCCCCAGGTCGGGTCTACCTGAACGATGTCCCGCTCTGCATAGCGCCCCCTAGAGGACACGCGTACGTCGTCGCCATCCAATTCCTCCATGGCTGCAGAAGAGACACCTGAGCTGAGTGACCTCTCCCTCACCAGCCCAGGGAGCCCCTTTCCCTCCCAGTGCCCCCTCGGGGTCCTCATGAGAATGCCCATTGGTTGCATCAAGGCTTTGGAGCTGCTGCTATGCCCTCCACACCCTCCCCTCCCCGGAGCCCCAGGGGGGGAGTATTAATATCAATAAACGCTGTTCTGATGAAGCGAGGTCTGTGGCTTGGCAAAAGTTTCACACGGGCATCTGTCCAGTCTCTTCTGTGAGGCAAACCTGATTCCCACTACTCCCCTATGTTCCCCTGTTCTCGGCCCCACCCATGGACACCCATCATGCTACTCACCCTCAAACATGGCTGGTCCCACACCGACAATGATGATGGACATAGGCAGCGAGGAGGCCTGTGAGGAAACAGGGCGAATGGTTGGGCCAACAGCCATAGCAAGGCAGACAGCTACGGGGGAGAGCTGTGTGTGTGCGTGACAGTTCTTCGCATCGTGCGTGCAGAGGCACTGGCTTCCTTTGTCTCAGACGGTCTTTCCAAGGGCAATAGTAACGAATACATGGATCAGTCTTGAAAGATAGAGCTTCCTCCTCGAAAGCAAAGGGCAGTTTTGTTCACTGTGCGGTATAATCCCCTTCCATTTCACTCGTGTGACATGTGGAACACACCAAGGGCAGGCACGCTTGTTGTCCATTATGAAAGATTTGGGGAAGAGGGGGTAAGGGGAAGGGTGGGAAAAAAATTAAAAAAATGAGAGATTTGGATTCCCCAAGCACAGGCTTTCTCTCCCATAATGCAGCCTGCCTCGGAGGCAGGTATCATCTGACCCTCTTCAGATAACCCGTGGGAATTGGGGCTTAGACAATTAGAGCAGATGCTGTTACTCCAGCTACTCCTGTTTCTGGGAATAACAAAGTCCTTTGTCTCTGCTCTAGGCATCTGGTGTCTCCTGCCAGCATCCATGAAAGTGGCGAGCTAATTTGTTCACTTGCAAATAGACTAAAATCTCAACCCCATTCCCAGCTGTGGTCAGTGACCCCTCCCTGCCTCCTAGACTCACACTGACAATGGCCTCCTTGGTCTGTGTCATGTCAGAGATGACCCCGTCTGTGATGATGAGCAGCACGTAGTACTGGGAACCGTCCGAGATCTTGGCTGCCGCCCTGAGAGAGAGGCCACGATCAGAACCAAAAACTCAGAGAGGTCGAGTGAACACCCCACTCTAACACACCTCTGGCTCCCATGTCAACGCAGGCAAGGAAAAGGCTGCTAAAGCCCATGATCCCTCCCTGCCGCTGACGGCCAGATCCTGCCTGTCATCCCTCAGGTAACAGCTAGGGAGCACTAATTACGGTAGGTGCTGTGTTAGGCACTGAAGGTACACGATGAGGAAAAAACAAAACGAAACAACCCAAACCATCCCAGGCCACTCAGGGAGGCAGACCTTGAGCCAAGAAACACAGAAACAGATATACCATTACACTGGCAGCGAGCGCCAGGATGGAAAGGAACATGGTTATAACAGTGGGGAGCCTGACAAGGCGCAGGGTGTCTTCAGGGGCTTCGCTAAGGAAACAGTGTTGAAGCCCCGCGAAGTGCAGGGGCCGCATACAGGCGGGAGGGAGGAGCAGCTGAAAAAGGACCCTGTTGGGGCCTCCCTGGTGGGGCAGGAGTGGAGTCTCGGCGCAATGAAGCCAGCGCCAGCCTCGACCGCATGAGTTTGCTCCCTGGCTAGGGAGTGGGCCCACGTGCTGCTGCCCTCGGCGGTGTATTTTAGTAGATCTGGGGACCCTGTGACTGAGATGGGGCAAGGAGCAGACCAGAGGCCTCCGTGGGACCCTGGAAAGATTTTGGTGTTTCACAAAAAGCAGAGAATCTCCTTTCTTTCCTCTCTCGCCAATTTATCCTCTCTCCCGTCTCTCCTCCGCTGACCACACCTCTTGGCCTGGACCCTGGGGTGCTCAGCCCATCTCACAGCTGAGCGCACAGCTCCTTTTCCTTCTCTCACCATCAGTCTTTGAATCCAAGATTTTTTCATCTGAAAATGAATTCAAAAGTCTAGTCGTCTTATTTTATATGTAAGAAAAATGAGACCTGGAGAAAGGACAAAGGCAGCAGACCCTGGGCTCTTGACTTCCAGAGTTAGGCCCTGTGGGGGCTGGACAGGATGGGGTTGCACTATCCGGGAAGATATCCCCGAGCCACGTGTGGCTATTCAATTTAACTTAGTTGGAATGAAACATTCAGTTCCTCCATCACTCCAGCTGCCTATCACTTGCTCAATAGCGGTGTGTGGCGGGTGCCTACTGTATTGGGCACCACATAAAAAGTTCCATCATGGCAGAAGATTCTCCTGGACCGTGTGGCAGTATTTAAACTAATACCCAAAAATCAGCAGAAGACATGGTGAATTTAACTGGCTAAACAGAGTGAATTTAACTGGCTTTGGTTGAATTTGCCCAGGGTCATGATTCTCTTTATTTTACTTTTTTTTTTTTTAAGATTTATTCATTCATGCATACAAGAACTGGGGCACAGGCCAGAGGTGTGGGGGGTGAGAAGACTCAACAGTGACAGAGTGGGGAACAGAACAGGCAGACTGACTGAAGACACTGCTGAGGGGAGCAGCGGGCGGGGCAGGAGGGGTCTGCTGCACCATGTGGGTAGCTCCCTGGCCGGGGTTCGAACTCGTGCTGCAGTGGCTGGCGCTATCTTGATAGTGCTGTCTTTAACCCCTGCACCACCAGGGAGGCCCCATGATTCTCTTTAGCAGCCTCTGCTTCCTTTGTGAATTCTGGCTGCAGCCTCCACGTGATCTAGCCTGGTACTTTCTCCTGTCACTCATTTTACAAATAGTCATTGAATACCTGCTGTGTAGCAGGCACCATGCTTGGTGCTGAGCATGAGGCAGAGAATAACATATTGTCCTGGGGGCGATGGATGCTTCTACCATTAAGATGCACTGAGGATGTGGCATGTAACTTAAGATGTAAACAAGTAACCCAGGGTTCGCTAGGAGAGAAGGTAGTGGTGGTGGTGTGAATGGGGGTAGAAAGGGAAAAATGTTCCAGAGAGGGCACGGGGGAATCGCATGTACAAACCAAGGGAGACTGTTCGGAGAGGTACATAGGAAGGGTTTGGGGGAATTGGAGTGAGGTCTTTGGCTCCCCACAGATCCCTTGCGTTTCCAAAGCCATTTAAACCTGAAAGTTGGTTGAGGAGATGCGCCACAGGCTGGAGGGGCCTTCGTGTGCCCTGCTGGGCTGCTGGGTGGGAAACAATGAAGAGTCATCTGTGATCACCAAATTCAGAGCTGACATACACGGTCTAACTGAATCCTGGCCACCATACTATGAGGCCGGCCCATTATTATTCCTATGTGTAAAATGACAAAACTGATGTTGGGAGCATCCCCAAAGGATGGTAAAGTTTGGGGTCCATTTCCATGCTTGACTAACCGAGCCTAAAGCCTGAGCACTGATCCCTTGACTCTGCATATCTGACCTGCTCCCTGGGTCCTCCATAAACATGCGTTGACACATTCTGGTCATAGTGTATCGTCCACTGCTTTTTGAATGTGCCCCTCCATGCTCTGTGTTTATCACCTGCAGCTCCTTCTGCCGGGCCTACTTTGCACCTCCTTCTCTGACAAAGTCCAGCTCGCCCTCTAGACCCAGCCAAGAGGTTCCTTCTACTGGTAGGCTGCCTTCAGTCTCTTGGGCTAGCTACACCCTCCACCTTCCAGGATAGGCTGTCTGCCCTTCCAGATGGGTTTTTACACCTCAGGGGTACCAGTGTATGCCCAGGGGAACCCAAGGCTGCAGGATACCTGCAGCATCCATTCTACTATGCGATTTGGTAGATAAAGTTAGATAACTCTAAGTACTCTTAAGACACCTTGTCTTTCCCCCACCCAAATTAAAGCAAATATACATGTGAAAAGAATGTAAAATATGCATGAGTTGTTTAAGATAAAATATGTGGATTTCAAAGACATCGTCAGCCTGGTTGCTTTCAACTGTGCCCCCAAATTCCCCAGGGGAAGCAGTCACTTGCCTTTACTGACAGGCAACTTGCTGGGAAAGTCTGGGAAGCTCTAGCCTATAGAAGGTAATAATTTATTTATGCTTCTGTCTTCTGCGCCAAGGCAGGAACTCCCAAGGGCAGAGACTAGATCAGATTCATCTGTGAGGCTCCAGCGCTCCAGCAGGGAACTGAGCACATGGCGGGTGCCCTTTGAATAATAATCATGATAATATTAACCGTGACAGCTCACACCTCTAGCATTCACGGTGTGGCAGGCACTGCTCGAAGTGCTCACATATTCAGTTAGTCCTCACGACAACCCTCTGATGTGGGTAACCCCATCCCCTGGGGAAACAGGTGCAGAGAAGTTAAGATCCTTACCCAAAAATCACAGAGCTGGTGAGAGGTGGCTCCACCGCCCATATTCATACCACACTGGCCCTTTACCGAATGTTCATTAAACAAATTAATGAATGAATCAGTGTAGTTGCCCAAGCTTTTTGAGGTATTTTGTTTTAGTTGAGTCTCTTCTATTCAGCATATAGTAAGGTTATTTTTTTATTCAAAGGATCTTTTTCCTTTATATTTACTGATATATTTTGGTTTAGTTCTGTCACTTTACTTACTTTGTATTAAAATATTTGATATGTGGGGGGGCCTCCCTGGTGGTGCAAGAGGTTAAGACACAACCTATGAAGATATCCGCAGCCTCTGCAGCACAAGTTCGATCCCCGGCCAGGGAGCAACCCATATGGTGCAGCAGACCTCTCCTGTCTCGTCCGCTGCTCCCCTCAGCAGTGTATTTCAGTAGATTCGCCTGTTCTGCTCCCCACTCTGTCTCTGGTGAATCCTCTCACCCCCCACACCTCTGGCCTGTACCCCAGTGCTTGTATGCATAAATAAATCTTTAAAAAAATTTTGATATGTGATCTGGGTTTTTTTTGCTTTATGTATTTTTATTCTGAAAATGTTGGAAGCTACTTTTCCATTTTTAGAAGCTACTCTTATTTTTTTTAACCTTCCATTTATTAAGCACTTTCTGTAGGCCATACACTGTGATAACAATTCACTGTTATCTCATTTGAACCTCTCAAAACCCTACAAAGGAGGTGCTGTTCTTATCTATTTCTACATCCATTTACAGGGGAGAACAGAGAGGCTCCCTTACTTAAGGTCCCATGTTAGTGAGAAGTGGAGTCAGGATCACTCCCAGGTCTGATGCCAAACCTTGCGCCTTCACCTCTATGCTATACACCTTTCTGCGTTTGCTCCCAACTTGAGACCTGGGTTATTGTTCCAGAGAATAGGGTTGGAGTAGTTTGTTGACAGAATTTCTACTCTACTTTGTCAACCTCTTTTTATCAAAGCTTGATCAACACTGAAACTTCCATCCTGCCCCCAAAGCTCAAGTTCACCCAAGAATGGTTTAGACTCTTCTTGGGAAGTTAGTCCCCTATGTGGGCCCCCTCATTCCCTCCACCCCCCACCCAGTTCCCTTACCTGGCCACCTGGTTGATGACAGGAGCAAAGTATGTGGGCCCATAGAGCTGCACTGTGCGCAGGCTCTGGAAGTAGCTCTCCAGCACGCCCTCAATGCCCGCACAGTTGGGGTCCTCGTCGTTGTTGTTCTGTCAGAGAAGAGGCCCTGCTGGACGGAGCCCAGGCAGGGTGTACCCAGGGGTGCTCTGACCCCAGCTCACTCCTGTCTTTTTCCATCCCCCTTTCATGCTCTCCTCCCGTCTCCACTCTGCTCCCCTTCCTGCTCTGCCCTCCTCTCTTAGCTTCTTGTTCCTCTGCAGGTCCTTAGAAGAAATGTTAATAGAAGAAATTAATCAACAAGGGAGGGCCAGGTGCCAGGGCACAGAGTCTACGTTCTGGTCCATACCATACCAGGGGAAACTGGTGGGAGATCCGTCCCTCTGGGGGCAGCTTGGCCCCAAAGCCGTAGGCTGGGAAGAGCTTGTCACTGTCATAGTCCTGGATGATCTCTCCCACTGCCTTGAGGGCCATGGCATAGGCGCTGAGCTGGTAGGGACTCATGTAGTGCAGGGAGGTGGGTTGCAGGGGGTTCCCTGTAGATACACAGGGAGCCCTGCCTTAGTTACCCATCTCTTCACCTGCTTTCTTTGTATGCATCCAACCAGCTATCCATTCATCCACGGCTTACCATGTTCTCCCTCTGTGTTATACCCAGTCACACACCTGCTCATTTATCCATGTATCCAACCATCAACCCCTATATCTATCACGACACCAACCCCTACATCTATCCACTTACATACATACACATTCACCTATCTACTGGCCTTACACAAATAAACATATATATAGTCACCTCTATCCATCTGCTTCATTGTTCTCTTATCCATCTATCCATCCATCTACCTACCCACCCATCCACCCACCCACCCATCCATCCATCCATCCATCCATCCACCCATCCATCCATCCACCCACCCATCCATCCACCCACCTACCCACCCATCCACCCACCCATCCATCCATCCATCCATCCATCCATCCATCCATCCATCCACCCACCCACCCATCCATCCATCCATCCATCCACCCACCCATTCATCCACCCACCCACCCACCCACCCATCCATCCATCCATCCACCCACCCATCCACCCACCCATCCATCCATTCACCCACCCACCCATCCATCCATTCACCCACCCATCCATCCATCCATCCACCCATCCATCCACCCACCTACCCACCCATCCACCCACCCATCCATCCATCCATCCATCCATCCATCCATCCATCCCCACCCACCCACCCACCCATCCATCCATCCATCCATCCACCCACCCACCCATCCACCCACCCACCCATCCATCCATTCACCCACCCACCCATCCATCCATTCACCCACCCACCCATCCATCCATTCACCCACCCACCCATCCATCTACCCACCCATCCATCCATCCATCCATCCACCCACCCACCCACCCACACCCATCCAGCCATATCTATTCCATTCACTCACTATCTGGCATGATATGGATCCTTCCACCTGCCCCTCGCCCATTCCCCTTTCTACTTACCCATTATTTCCCCAACTTAAAACATCTGTCCACTTGTCAGCCCACATACTAATCCATGCATTTGCTTGACCAGCCTGTTGTACTCGCTCACCAGCCCATCTAGTCACTCTGTGCCTCTCTCCACTCACTCACCTTCCACCATCATTCATCCGTCCCTTTCTCCTCACTCCTCTCCTCTCCCACCCACTCATTTATTTGGCCATTTCTTGAGCTGTCCAGTCAACCTTTTTTGATCTATTTACTCACCAATTTTTCAGTACCCCCTGCCTATCCTTACGCCAAATCACCTCCCCTCATGACTCTGCACCAGCACCAGCTCGGCTGGGCTTTGCCTTAAGCTTAGGCTTCCTGGTCGGAGAGCTCTTCTCCCCAGGCGGGAATCCAGGCCCATTCCTAACGACTGCCTGAGAGATCCCCCCCCCCCCGCCACGCCCCATCCCTCCACCCGAGCCTCACCGTTTGAAGCTGTGAAGTCAATGGCTACTGTGAAGTTCAGCTGTGTCCTGTTATGGAAGGAGATGGATTGGAACGTGAGGGTCTAATATTAGAACAGGATTTCTCAAACGCAAATGTGCACTTGAACCTCCTGAGGATGGTGTTAAAATGCAGATTCTGATCTGGATGGTCTGGTTGGTGCCTGAGATTCTATATTTCGAACAAACTCCCAAGATATGCAGCTAATTCTGATCCATGAAATGCACTTTGGGTAGCAGAATTAAATGTCTACTGTGTGTCGAGTATATGTAAATTGATTTAACCTTGAAGTAGTCATTACACTTTCTTACACTAGAGAAAAGTGAGGTGCAGAGAAGCAAAGGGCCATTTCCACGTCTGCCCGCCTTCCCTGGGCCAAGGCGAGTGCCCCTACAGTCCACTTGGCTTTTCTCTCTCTCGGCCTCTCCCTCTTGCCTGACCATAACTTTTGTTCAGGTCTCATTCGGGTTGCTGGGGACACTTTTGAAGACCACTGCTCTGACATCTCCCTATGGGGGGGCTGGACACTGGGAATGAAAGGCAGCCCCGTGAAGAGAACTGAGGCGGACAGCACTATGAATAACTGAGCACTCTACAGCTTGACATGTATTTTCAAGTTCATCTTCCTGTTATCATTGGCTCCCGACCATTTATAAGTAAGAAAATCCGGGCTCAGGACTGGGAGGAGCTCATTGCTGGGATTTCAGCCCAGCGCTTGGTCTGTGACTCACCCTCCTTTGATGTAATCAACAAAAGTGAATTCAGAGTCCACAGAGAAGGAGAGCAGCGTCACCTGCGGGGCACAAGAGGCAGCCCTGCCGCTTTGGGAAGGGCAGTGGGTGGCAGGATGAAGAAAGGAAAAAGGGACCTCTGGAGAGAGGCACATGACAGGGGGGAAAAGGATTTCACCCCCTGCCCCACCCTGTCCAGTTTCTGAAAGGACAAAAAGGAAAACTGTCAAAGACGTATTTGGATCTCCAACATTCCATAACATTGGAAAATATAACTTAGGTTTTTTGCAAAAAATTCTGCAAAAGAGTAAAGTTTTTAAAAAAGAAAAACTTAGAACGGTACCACCTTGTGCCTAACATGACCACATCCAGGTCCTCTGTGCCCACAGCCTTCCCTCCCCCCAGCACGAGCCGTGCTATGTCCGTGGGGCCTGCAGCGGAAGGCTCCAGGGAGGGCCGCGGCTCCAAGGGGCACTCACAGTTCCCGAGTTGACATATTTCTTCTTCTTGCATTTCTTCCGAGGGTTAAGAACCTAAGCGGGGAAGATCAGCAGCAGCGGTGGGAAACAGGGCGGGCGTGAGAGACCGAGCAAGGGAGGTGAAGGGCTGGGCAAGCCGGGCAGCGTCCGCATCTCACCTCATACACTGTGAACTGGTTCTGGGCTTTGCTCAGCTCCCGGTAGCTGGTGGTGAACTCGCCGATGAAATCATGGCTGCGGCGAGGCCAGGGGTGAGTGAGCACAGCTGCTGCCGGCTGGGAGCCGGCCCTAAAACCAGCCTTTTATTCCCACTATCCCCTGCCGCTTCCTGGGCCACCGGGCACGGGGATTTGGGCCAGAAGAGGGGCCACGGTGAGGGGAAGAAAATGGAAGAGACAGTGTCCCAGAGAGACAACCGAGGGGATCAGTCACACCCAGAGTCCTGGCTCTCCCCTCACCCTTGCTGCCTCCCAAGGTCGCTTTGGGGTTCCTAGTAAATGCACCACATACTCCAGGGAGATGTCTGGGTGAGTGCAGGAGAAGGCAGTACCTTCCATCCCGGTCCCAGTCGTACACATCGATCTTCACTGTTCTGAAATGCAGAAGATAAACAGAGACGGGGTATCCATGATAGATGCTGGAGACCCCCCCCAACTCACTAACCACACACAGATCATCCTTCCATCCGTCCAGCTGTCCTTTCATCAACCCCTTACCCTGTGTCCAGCCATCCATCCTATGGATTCATTCATCAGTCTGTGTAAGAACCCAACCATCTACCGCCGCGCGCTGTTACGACAGCTACTGCAATGTTATTACTGTCTGCTGTAGTTTTTTTTTTAATCACTTATTGAGTCTTAGTTTGTTCCTGGCATTGTTCTCAGCACATTCACAGATTGTCTCGCTTAACAATCACCCTATTAAGTAAGTACTATTATCTTAGTTTTGGATAAGAAAACTGAGATTAAAAAAACCACTAATTTGACTAAATAGTGATTGAGCTGAGATTTAAAAACTCAGATAGGGGCCTCCCCGATGGCACAGCGGTTGAGCGCTGGGCTGCGAAGCTACCTGCAGCCTCCGCAGCGCCGGTTCGATCCCCGGCCACCGGGCGAGGGTCCTACATGGCGTGCAGACCTCTCCTGCCGCCCGCGGCTCCCCTCAGCAGTGTCCTTCGGTCCTTCTGCCTGCTCTGCTCCCCGCTCTGGCTCTGGTGAATTCTCTCACCCTCCCGCGCTTCTGACTGTACCCAGTGCTTGTACAAATAAATAAATAAATCTTTAAAAAAAAAAACAACCTCAGATATGCTGATTCCTTTCAACTACTTATGCCTAAGTCATTCTATATGCCCAACTGTGCGACAGTCCATCCAAGCTTTTATCTATTCATCTAACTATACATTTACCCATACATTGGCCAATCCAATTACCTATTAATGCCTGTCTTTATCCACCTATCTAGCTAGGCATCCATCCATATTCACTGACTCACTGATGCGTGCATGTATCTGTCTGTTTATTCATCTATCCCATCAAACACCCAACCGTCTGACATTTGCCCATCTGGTCACTTGGTCGTCTACATAACCATCCATTTATGTGCACACCCACCCTTCCACGTTCCCGTCTATCTTCATACTGTCTATGAATTCATATGGTTGGCCTCTCCCTCTGCTTTACCCTCAGTCACCAACTACTTCATCCATTAATCCACCCCCACCATCCACTCATCTGCCCATCAATCCACCTGTCTCTCCACCTATTTATCTCCTTGTTTTCTCCATTCATCCCTTTGCCTTTCCAGCCATATACCAAACTGTCACATACCCATCCTTCTAGTCATCCAGTTATTAATTCCATTAAATCATCAATCATTTGTCCAATCCACTAATCTGCCCATCAACCCACTTGTCCATTCATCTGCGGTCCATTAACCCATCTCCTCTGCTACCCACCAACCAATCCTTTTATACCCATCCAGATACCCACTCATCCATTACCAGTTTATCTCTCCATCTGATCATCCATGCAAATGTCATTAATTCATCTTTTTGTCTGCCCTTCCCTCCACCTATCCATCCACACATCCACCTATCCACTGAGGAGGCCATCCACCTGCTTCCCTGCCTACCCATAATCATGCCCCAAACTTTGTCCCATTGGGCAGGATCCTCCAACACTACTGTGGCACTTCTGCCATCATTCTGGGCCCAGGAACCCTGTGCTCATGCCCTTGTACCCTTAGCTGAGCTGAAGCAGACCTGTCGTAGTCTCCATTGCACAGTGCCCGCACGGGGATGCTGAAGGGCTGCCACACGGGGTTCAGTGTATTTTTCACAACCTCTGTCTTGTGGCAGATGGTGAACCTGGAAAGGAGCAAGAGGATTGGCATCTGCCTTTGGGGTAGGACCGGACCCAGAGACAGGGTCTGATGCTCTTGAGATTTGTGGGGTTCTCCCATTTGTTAAACACTTTTTCTTTGCTGCCTTGAATGAATTCTGGGCTCAGGCCCAGGTGAAGTCTAAGGTGCCCCGGACCCAGCCCAAGGGTCCTGATGGGCCTGTGCTCACAGTTGGGGGTGGGTGGTGCAGCATCAGAGAGGGCAGTGACTCACGTGCCATCCTCATTGCTCCTGTAGAATACAAGGAAGGGGTCTGATTTCCCAAAGAAGTCCTTCTTGTCCAGCTTGTTTGCACACAGCTGCATGGTGGCAATGTCCTAAGGATGAAATTGGGCCATTGACACTCAAATTACCAGTAGCCTCAGACAGTCCACTGAAGAGAATCTGGGGAGAGAGGGGCCTAGTGCATGCTCTTACTGACCCGACAATTGCTAAGCTCCTCTGCGGTCAGCAGTATGGTCCCACACTTCTTGCCAGGAACCCCCCTGGAAGTAGAAAAAGCCTCTCTGTAAGGGGGGAGAGTAGGCAACAAAGATTGGGGTGGCTAATCTAGGGTTGGTGGGCCAGAGGATTCAACTTGCTACCCAGAGTCCCTTGAATGTGGCCCACTCAGTGCTGGGAGGCGCATGGTAGTGCAGGACCTGACTGGCACTGGGAAGGGTCTCTAGTCTGGAATGAAGACGTGAGACTAGTGAGTCCAGGTAGGTATGTCACGGGAAGGACAACCTCTTGGGTGAGTTGTTTCCCATTTTGGTGGACTGTAGCTTCCTTGTGGATGAAATTGGAGGAAAATCAATCGGTAAGTTTTATCGCTATGAAGATGGTGCATTTCCCAAGGCAGGCTCTAGAGTGTACCATGTCAAGCGTGGTGCCAGTATGAACTGACCTCCTGGACTCTCTGGGTTCTGACCTTGGGGAGAGGCCAGGGGGAAGTGAGATGTCAAAGCCATTGGGCGAGTAAGGGCGATGCCATGGTCCTGACGGGGGAGAGGCATTGTCTCTCCAGACAGGGGCAAGAGAGCTGGTCAAAGTGTTAGGTCACTTCACGTGGTTAAAGTGCCGTGTTTGCCTAAGACTGTGAAGAGTGAAATAAAAAAAAAAAAAAAAGACACAGGCAGCCTTATCCTTCCTGGCCAAGAGAGGTGACCTTTATGTGTCTGAAGGGAGCGCAACAGGGCACCTATTCCCAATGCTCCTTGGTCTAAAAGAAGTCGGGGTCCTTATTGGTAGAGGCCTGACAACCCTGATCCCCAAGGGATCCAAGGTGTGGTAGAGAGAAAACTAGGTCAGGAGTGTCCTGGGGTCAAGTCCCGGTTCCAAGCTGCTCTGGGGGTTTCTCCACCTTCACAATGAGAATGTGACGCCATTTATTTGGCCCCTTCGATCTCGGACTCTGCGCTTGAGGTGACGTACGATGAGAACAGGGAGTGTCACCTGCACATGCAGGTGTCACTGGCCCCAAGGCCCTCACGCTGCCCTTCCCCTCCTGGCGTCCCCTCCTTGCGTGCTCAGTATGACTGTAGCCAATGACTGGAGCCGTCACTTGGCTCATCCTGCTCTTCTCCCCGGCCCTTTTCTCACTCCAGCATACTTCTTTTTTTTGCAGAGCCACAGCCTAGTAAAATCCAGTTCTCTGCCTCAAGCCTTGCGCAGCTACGCAGCGGAGTAGGACCAGAGGACAACACCGGCGAGCTAACTGGTCTCATTTTAAACGCCTGACTACAAGCCCGGGGGTCCTTCACCACACTGGACTTCCCAGCTCCTCAACCCCCAGCTCTGCTAGACAGCACGTTCCTTCCTCCGCTCTCCTGAAACCCGCAGGGCCTCCCCCTCCCCCTCATCCTCAGTCACCCTTCCACCTCACTGACAAGCTGAAGCACCCAGGGGAGAATGTCCCAGAGCCCCCTCCCTCCCCTGCTCTGCTCCGGTGCGTCCCCCACACGACTGCGCCTTCCTGCTGCTGTGATGGACGGAGCGCGCCTGTTCTCCCCACCCTGTGCGCGACGTTCTACACCCTCTTGCTGCACCGGGACGTCCATCCCACAAGCCCCCCTCGTTCTGTCCGTTTTTCAGTTTCTAACGCCCCCAGCTTACTCCTCCCCCACTTTTTTTTTAAGCCATGTGGCAGGAGTCCTTCCACCCGTGCAGGCCAAGGATCCGGGTGTCGTCCTCGACTCTGCTCACTCCTGCGCCCTCATATTCCACCTGTTGACCCCCCTCCAAGATAAGTCCAGAATCTAACTTCTCCCTGCTGCACGGCCGCCACTCTGGGCTGCGGCGCCAGCCTCCCGCGCGGCTCCCGGCTCCGGCCTTCACCCGCGCCTAGATTATTCTCAAGCCGGCAGCCAGCATCGTCCCTTGAAAGCACAGGCAGTCGCGCCACCCCTGCTCCCAGCTCTGCAGTGACGCCTCTCAGAGTGAGAGCTGAGGTCCAGAGGGGCCTCCCCGATGGCCACTGCTCCGGCCTGGCCTTGCTTGTTCTCTCCTGGGCTCACCTGGCTCCCGCGCCGGCCTCCTTGCTGCCCTCTGAGGGCATCTGGCTTCTGCGCTTGCCTCTCCTCTGCCTAGAACATCCCTCCCTCCTCCGGACCTGCACAGCTCGCTTCCTCTTCCTCACCTGCTTCTCCAAAGCCCCCTCTCCCTCGGGTCTACTTGACCACCTCCTGCCTACCATCCCCCGCCCCCCCAAACCACTCCCCGGCCCTCTGGGGTTCCCAGGCCCTGATTTGTTCTGCTCCGCTTTGCCTTTTCCCCGCAGCACTCACGTCTTCTCATAATTATGTGGTTTACCTGCTGGATTTGTTTTGCGCTGTTCCCCTCGTGCCCCCCCACCTCTGCACATAGGCTCCCGGAGGGCAAGCACCTGTCCTGCTCGCCCCCACCCCAAGCCCTTCAACAGTGGCTCACAGAGCTGGTGCCCAGGGGGGTGTAGGGGCTGGACAGGTCCCTGGTGCTGAGCACAGGGGCCGCGTAGGACACGTGCTCATAACCCTCGGGGAACGGATGTGACTCGGGTTCCAGAGGGCCGGCCAGGCAGGGGGGGCTCCTGAGGCTCAGCCTGGAAGCGGACCTGGAAGGCTGACCCTGACTGGAAACAGCCCCGCGAGAGGGGAGGGAGGACGGGAGGGACTGGCGTGAGCAAAGCCCTGGAGACGGGCCTTTCCTACGAGGGGGCTGGGCGCTGTGGGGGGGGGACCCCTCTGCTGCCACCTGGCAGCAGCATCCTTGGAAGACAGAATTTGGAGGTGCCCGTCCCCCCCGCCCCCTCGGGCTCAGCTCACGTGAGGGGCCGCTCCACGCGGCTGCCCTGCCCTCCGATCACCTCTCCCAGGGCCAGGAACGCTTGTCCCAGGAAATCCTGCGCAGAGACGGTGGGGCCGAGGCCGCGGGCAGAGCCCAGCGCAGCCCCGAGACGCGCGGACCCCCAGGGCCAGGCCCTGTGCTGGCCGGGCGGGCCCCCCAGGCTAGGGAGCCCCGCGGGCGCGCTGGGGGCGCCGTCCCTCTGGGCCACCCTCCGGGGGTGCCAGGCCCCCCCCCCGCCCCCGCCCCCCATCCGCCCCGCCCGCCTCACCTTCTGGGGTCCGCGGCAAGGGAGGAAGAGGGAGACGGGGTCAGGCGGCGCGGGGCAGCGCGGGGAGGGCGCGGGGTTGGGAGGCGCAGAGCAGGCGGGTCGGGTCGGGGTGGGGCTCTAGGAGGCTCGTTGGACACCCCAGCTCGCGGGGTCGGCAGCCCTGCGGGGCGCTCACCGGCTTGGAGACGTTGGTTCTGGAGTCCACGTTGTACCTGGGCAGAGAGCGGCCGGCGGCGGCTGGGGTGCGCGGGGGGCGGCTGCAGAGAGGGGGCTCCCCACCCCGTTAGCCCGGGAGGGGCGGGGCCGTGGACCCGACTTCAGCCCGGACCTCTGGGGCTGGTCGTAGGGGGGCAGCGAGGCCGCAGGCGGGGCGGTGGGGCGGGGTCCCGGGGGCCTCGCCAGAGGCGGGGCGCGGGGCTTGGGGCGCGCTGAGCTCCCCCTGCCGGCGAGGCTGGACCTGGGGGCGCAGCTGGGGGCGAGGCGGCCCCCCAAGGGCGGGGTCCCACTGGGGCTGGGGCGGGGCTCACACATCGAAGCGCAGGTTTTGCTTTTCCTCAAAGAAATAGTCCAGGACGAATTTGCGCAGGAAGTCGGGGTTCAGCGTGTTGTCGATCACTTCAGTCCGTCCGAACTGGGGGCGCGGGGGGGGCGGCGTTCGGTCAGCCGGGGCCTGCGGGGCCGCCTCCCCCCGCCCCGCACCCCTGCTCACCTCCCGCCAGTCCTGGCCGGCGCGGCTCTGCGCGAAGAGCACGACCACTGCGGGCGGGGAGACGTCAGGCCGCGCGCCCCTTCCCTGCCCGGTCGCACCGGGACCCCGAGTTCCCCCTCCCGCCTTAGCGCCTCCTACTGGGGTCGGACTTGGAGAAAGTGTCGAGGTCCAGCAGGTTCCTGGCGAGAGGACAGACAGACGGGCCGCGTGGGTCATCGGGAGCCACCGCTGGGGTTGCCCTAAGCTGGGCACCGGGGAGGGGGGCGCGGGGCGCAGGTCGCACCTCCCTGCCCTGTTACAGCGCCCAGCCTAGGTGGGGGCGGGGCGGGGCTGGGGGGGCAGGGGTGGCGGGGTGCGGGGGCTGTGGGGGGGAAATCCCGAGTTGTCAGCACCCTGGACAGCGCCAGGAACTTCGGCCCCAAACCGCGCCTCTGCGGGGCGCGGCCGCACCCACCCGTCTCCAAGGGCTCAGGAGAGAGGGTTGGCCCCCTGACTTCGTCCTCCCGGGGTCCAGAGCCTGCAGGACCCTGTGGCCCATCCCCTGAGCCGGCAGCCTGAGTCCTCCTTTGCGGGCGGGGCAGTCCAAGGGGACGCCCCCTCCCCGGCCGGCCAGCGACTCCCCCGAGTCTGCGTCCGAGACCCGCGCCCGGACCCTCCCCGCCGGCCCAGCCCTGCCCGGACCCTCCCCGGCGGCCGCTCAGCCCTCCCCGCCCGCCCGCTCACCGGCAGGACACGGTGATTTCGATCTTGGTGGCCGGGACGCTGCGCTCAGGGGCTCCGCCGAGAGACATGGCTGGTCGGGGGGCGCGGCCGCGGGGGCTGCGGGGGACCGCGCTCCCTCCAGCCCTGCGTGCGCTCCCGCCGCTGGCGCCCTGACTGTGGCTGCCGCCGGCTCCAGATGGCAGCACAGCCCCGCCCGGCCCTGCGGGCGGCCCCGCCCCATTGGAGCGTCCTCCGGCCGGCCCAGAAGCTCCTCCGGAGCCCAACTCCAGCCGCACCTCGGGAGTCTCCCCAGCACCTTCCTCCCAGGCGAACCCCAAGCCCCTGAGTTCAGCCTGCAGGGCAGAGGCATGTGGGGCACCTGGTGGGCACGGGGGCGCTGTCCTCCTGACTCCACAGTCCCTCTCTGGGCCTGCCTAGCACCTGGAAGCTCACACGGTCTCGTGTCAGGTGGGCGACCTTGGGCAAGTCCCCGCACATCTCTGGCTCCCGCACCGCCGGGGCATGAAGGCCAGGACAGCCGCTCCCAGGAGATCATGTCGTGGAGCTGACCCATGACCCATGCGAAGGGTTTAACGGGGGATTGTACACCACAAGCACCCCGGAAACAGCCTCCGCCTTCTTCCCTTCCCCTGGGCGCGGACGCGCACCTCTTTCAAGAGTCAGCTCGGGAGATGGTGGCTGTTACGACAGCGCACAAAGCCCTTCGCCTTACAACTCCGTGACGTCGAGGCAGCCAGCCTGTGTGATGCCGTCGCTCCTGCTCACTCTGCGGGTGGGGGGGGGGGTCAGCCAGTGGCTATGCCGCACGCAGGGGCTCAGGTCCTCAGCGCCAGGATGGCGCTGCTTGCAGAACTTGTTAAAAACGAAACCCCTTCCCTCCTCCCGCCCGTGCCCAGCTAGGTGATCCCGGCACCCCCTCGTCCAAACTGCAGGCAGCCCTAGGAATCGGCACGGCCAACGGGCAGCCCGGGCGACCAGAGCTCTCTTGGCCCACGGACTACCCCCCTCAGAGGGGACTGAGAGGTAGTAGCCGGAGAGGTACCTCCTCCTCGCCAGCTCTCTTCCTGTTTCATCTGCTCGCCCTCCCCCCCACAAAAAAACCCATCTTCCAGCACAAGGACAGTGAGAATCTTCCACAGAGCTCCGCGCAGGAAGCAGCCAATGAAGATGCAGAACAGCTGTTCAAAAAGACTTTGATTTTATTTTGTGATCTGTGTCAAACTGCCTCATCTCAGTGCAGGTGACTCCCTCCACCGGAGATAAGGGAAGGAGGGGTCTCTCGTGAAGCCGTGGCCTCCACAAGGCCTCAGGGGAACCCCACAGTTGAGAGCTGACAGGAATCCGGCAGACTAGGGTGGGTGGGAGGCAGTGGCGGAGGGGGGTGGTCACAGTCAGGAAGCGGGGGTTGGAACACCTTGTCCTTGGCCCTGCTCAGCTCTGGGGCTGCCATGCGCGTGCTGGAGGCGGAGGAGTGAGGAGCTCTCCCCCAACCTTTAAGTACCCCTGGGCCAGGCATGGCTTTGATTCCACTTAGGGCTCAGGTGAGAGGCGCAGGCGACTGCTGCGGGACGGCTGCTTCATAAGGTGCTGTTGCTGGTGCCCCGGAGCCCGACACCTCGCACGAACTGTTCCAGCAGGCCCCCGATGGCGCCAGAAGGACTGGGGGCCGCTGCGCGGAGCCCCACCGTGCTGCTGTACGTAGCCAAGAAGGCCGAGCGCACCTCCTGCAGCCGCGTCTGCCGCTCCCTCAGGGCTGTGAGCCTAGGGGAGGGGAGAAGACTGCGTCACCGGGGACAGGCCCCAACATCTGCTTCCTCCAGCTGCCTGTCCTCTGCCTTCACCAGCACATCTGTCCTAAGGTCACATTGCCTGAGTGAGTCAGGTCCCACACACTTGGCCCTGTTACCCCTGAAACCATTCCTCCCGGCTCTAGAGTTATCACATCTGCCGAGAAGCGGCCCCTTGCACTGGAGAAAACCACCGTCTCTGTGATGACTGGCAGGGAGTTACCCCAAGAGCGGCTGGCTTCTAGTCCTCAGTAAGAGCAAGCTGAGGCTCAGAGCTTCTACCTAAGAGGAAGGAGAGAGCCCAAGATCAGGCATCAGGCCTTGGCTGATCAAAGACCTCAGCTGGCTTGAGGTCAGGACCTGGAACATCTCGGGGGAAAGCTCTTGTGAGCGCCCTGGAAAATCCCGATGCCCTAGATGGGGTCCTCACTCAGAAACCCCGAGGCTGTACCTTCAGTTGCTGTGGGCCCCAAACAATTAGGAGGGTGAGGGGGTGCTGGCTCTTCTAGCAGGTTCTAACTCCATCTCCATTTTCTCCCCGGCCTCTCCATGCCCTGACTGTAGGGGGGAGACACGAAGCCCCTTCCTTTCCTGACCTGAAACTGCAAGACAGGGGAACGAGCCATGCAAACTCAGGTTCATCAGAGAGTGGATCCCACCAGGTTGTCTGACATGTTGTAAGGTCTTTTCTAGAGGCCTGAGGTCGCAGTGACACCCAACCTCTACCTCTACACTCAGAGATGGACGCTCCAGGGCTGGCAGGGATCTGTGATCAGAGAGGCCAGGAACTCACAAACTCACACCGTGTTCTCCCTTGCTGGCCCTCGAGTGCCTCCTCCGGGGAGCGCAGACCTACATGAGACCAGCCCTTCTGGTCCTATCCCCCCAAGCTTCAAGACTAGCCCTGGCTGCTGACTTACTCCAGAATTCCCCCCAACAGACCAATCCACGGCCAAGCCCTCCCCGGAAATTTGTCAGCAATAGTAGCGATGTACCCCCTCCCAAGTCGAAATGACTTGCACCCCAGGGCCTTGGGAGGCAGGTGGAGGTCTGATGATAAGTGATAGTTCTGTTATAATAGCGGAAGGACAGATGTAAGAAAAGTAGAGCGGTGGGTGGGCGTGGTGAAGGGGGGGGCAGGAAGAGGGGAGAGAGGTGTTCTGGGGCGAAGGGAAGTGAAACAGTTCTTAAAGGCACGCTAAGAACATGGAGCCGATGTAGGATTCCTAGAATGTCCTGAAAAACAACAAGGAGCCTGGCATCTGGGGAGAGCTGTGGGCCTAGGTCTTCTTACTTGCTAACTGTTTCATAAAGGCTGGAGGCCATGCGTGCTTTTTCAGCTCTTCCTCAGTGCACACAACTAGAGAAATTCAGATTTGTTAGTTTGTATTCACAGCAACATGCAAAAGTCCACACGCGTGCGTTGTGGGAAGCAGAAGGGGGTGAGAGGAAAGCCTATTTAGAGACAGGAGGCCAGATGCCAGAGAAGACAGGTGAGCCACGGGAGCACACATGGCGGGCAGCGGGGAGGCAGGGACAGGAGCCACCGTGGTACGGTTCCCTTCCGAGAGATGAGCCAGCAGATTCAGAGAAGCCAGGGCTGACGCCCAAGACACAGCTGGTGAGCAGAGCATCTAGAATCTAGACTGTGTTTCTCGGGTAAGACAGGCGAGCACAGAGCCCCACACCACGTGACCTCACCCGGAGCCAACCCTAGCCCCACCGCTACCATGAGAGCGTGCGGAAAGGACCAAGCCCCCCGAGAACCATACAGAACAGCGCCTTTCCAGCGAGGAGCTCAGAAAGCTGCTCGAGGATCTGGGTCTGGAGCTGCCTGTTCCCGTGGCCGACGACAGGTCAGAGAGGGGTACGCCCGTATGGGGCAGAGACGTCTGCCTCCTCCAGAGGTGCTGCGGGGCCAGCTGGGTAAAGTATAAAGTTCCTACACAAAGGCGCAGGGTATTTTCCTAATCCTTCAAGAACCTAAGATCAACATCTTGTGTCTGACTTAAGGGCCTGGCTACAGAGGAGGCGCGGCCAGGTACTGGTGACTTCCGGCTGCTCCCCAGCTCAAGAGGGGGTCTGTGATGACCATTTTGAGATCCCTTAGCAGGGACACTTCTCAGCCCCCCAGGGTAACCTGCCTCCGACTAGTCAGCACTGGTGCTAGGTGACGACCTGGGGGGAAGAGTCAGGGCTGCCTCCCTAGCACCCGAAGTTCATTCAGCCCATGGGGAGGAGGTGAAGGCACCTGGGCAACCACAGCCGAAGAGCAGTCACCTCCCCGGGCTTGGAGGGGCTCCCCTCGGACATCGGTGAAGCAGCGGAGCAGGCGGCGGCAGGGGCTGCCCCAGAGGCGGCTGCTCGGTGGACGCGCTCTAAGAGCTGGAAGGCCACACCGAGACTCTGGAGAGGCTTTCACAGCTTATAATTCAGTACTCCCATGCAATTCTCTTTCCTGACCAGAGGGAAAAGCGGAAAACAAGCAGGAGAGGACAGCAAGCAGCCCTCGCTTCTCCTCAGGCGGGCCGCGGGCCGCGAGCTAAACCACCTCCTCTCCAGCTCTGGCCTCTGCCGTACGCCCCCGGCACTACCCCACGGCTCTGTTTCAAAGAGTCTCATCTCAGGCAAAGCCCTGGACAGAAATAGAATCCTCTAGCTTACAGTCCAGTCAGCTTTCCCTCAGGGTGTGTCCCGAGACACCCGGGGACAGATTCTGGGGGCGGGGGAGCGGGAACACACTGCAAAGCACACTTCTGCAAGCCCCTAGGCCTCGGGGGTCCGGAGGAGCCCGGTCTAGTGAGCTGAGACACTGGGGAGGGGCAGGCATCCCAGGTCAGCTCCGGGCTGGCTGCTGCCTCCTCCCTAACCAGCATTCGTGACTGCTCATCCGCTACAGACAGGGCAGGGCGCATCCTGCCGCTCGAGCAAGAGACTTACAGACAACTGTTAGGGAGCTCATCCGGGAAGCTGAAAGGGAGGGAGGAGTCTGTGTGCAGGACAGCCCGCTCCTGAATACTGCCACAGCCCGTGACCATCTGCCAGCTGCCAAAGTCTGTGGAGAGAGAGGATCCGGGCAGGGGATGGTCCACTGATCTGGGGCAGAGAAGAGAGAGAGGGGAGACGATGCACAGTCAGTCACAGGCCTGACAGCAGAGGCCCTGGAGGGGGAGTCAGGGGCTACGATGGCGCTGGACCACGGCCGCGAGGTTCTGCCGGAGCATCTGTAAAGTCAACCACTTTCTCCCGAAGTGCAAAAACAGCTGGGCAGGTTGTGACCGAGAGAGAACAGACCGCAAGGCAGGTGCAGCTGTGAGGTCAATGCTTGGTGCAAGGAGTTATGGGGGCAAAAGAAGAAGAGCAAAGCATGGTGACAGGAAGTGAACCAGCAACCAAAGCCTGCGGCCAGGACAAGCCGATCTTGGTGGCTGACAGCACAATCTCGACAGCACCAGAAGGAGAGGAGGGCTGGGCGCCTCAGGAACCAGGGAGGCAGGATCACCTCATTATTTCCGAGCAAGCGTGCGGCAGGGTGGGCACTGCAGAACTGAGGGGCCGCGGGGCCCGAGGCCCTAGCAGAGTGAGAGAACAAGCACCGGGGGACCGGAGAGGGTGACGACCTAGATTGAGGGGTGAGTCACTGAGAGCCCCGAGGTCCCCGACCTCCGCAGCGCCCTGCCGGCAGCCATAGTTTGTATTCACAAGCACCAGCCCGGCAAGCTCACTGGCTCTGCCCAGAGGGAAGGGATGAATCAGGCAGGCAACTGACAGCTTCATCAAGCCCTGTTCAGACGAGGTCTGGGGGCGCAGGGAGAGGAAAGCGGGACTGGGAATCTACCATGGCCACCTCCTCCCCACTCACAGCCGGCCCTCTCCGCGGTCTCTGGGCAGGCCAGCTGCTGGGGGTGGGGAGAGACAGGCGACATCAAACAAGGCCTCCCATCAGCAGTCCCAGGTCCCGGTCCCCAGAGGTACATTATCTTTGATGCTTGACCCTTTATTCTTTAATTCAGGAATAGCAGACAGCGCGCCTGTAGGGACCCAGAACCAGAGCAGAAGCATGAATAGTGATGTAGGGGGTGGGGCACAGAGAACAACATTCACTGACCTTGGGCCACCCCGCCGGCAGCCCCCGGGGCTTCCAGTCCGAGGAGCGTGCCCAGCTGCGTCAGAGCAACCGCCTTATCCTCACGCACCTGGACACCTCAGGGGCACCCCTGTCCAGACACTGTATTTCTGGAGGTCCTTAACCACCCCCAACTTGGAGGCGGAGAAGTGGCTGCCCAGAGCGGTGAAGGCGAGGACACTAAAGCCGAGTCTGATTCCAGGGCTGCACTACAACAGCAGCACCCAGAGAGCAGGGCAAACAGATGGCTCTCTGTGCCGGAGTCGCCGCCGACAGGAACCCCCTGCAACAGAACCACTCACCACACGCATCATTCCTGCTCCGCTCAAGGAGCCGCGGGCCGGCAGCATTAGGGAGGCCAGAACAGCGTCTGCTATTCGGGGGAAGCCCCTCGCACCAGACAGAGCAAGCTTCCTGGTTTTCTTGCTGGAGACTTGTGGTAAGCGCCAGGCAGGTTGCACCCCAAGGACACAGCTACCCAGGACAGGGCAAGCCATGTGCCACCTGCTGGTGCCTGCCCTGCGCCTCTCCAGGTCGTGCCGGGGCCGGCAGCCAGCACCACCCCTGAGGGGCAACACGGCCCCACGGATTTCATCTACCGCTCAAACTTCTGGGCAGAGTTTCTTTTCTAGTTTCACAGTTTGCGTGGAAAAACCTGCCAAATCCAGGGTCGAGGGGAGGGAATGGAGGGACGCCAAGCTGCGCAGGCCGGGTGGGGGTGGCCCTCCTGGCACCGGGACGCGGGATTCTTACGCCAGCCCCAGGCCACCAGAGACGAACAGCTCCAGTGGGAAGAGAAAGGATGGATGAACTGTGGTGAGAGAGGCCCCCCTTCCTCCCTCACCCCGTAAGGACCCTTCAAGGCCAGTCCCTTGCCTTAAAGCCCCCAGGCGACAGCTGTGGGACGGAGAAAGCAGCAGAGAGCGCAGCCGGGGTGTGGCCCCAGAGGACACAAAGCGAGCAGCTTTGTCCAAGTTCCCAATCAATCTCCCTACTTGATGTTTTTTGTCAAGGAAAGGACTGCAAAGCAGAGGTTCAACTACTCCTGGGGCTGAGAGCAAGGAAGGGGCTGTCCTAAGCAGGGAGGTGCTGGAAGCGCTAGCCTGGTTAGCTGGCTACAGGGGGCGCCTGGAGGAAAGCGGCATCACCAGAGGAAGCACCTGCACCTGTCCAGTGACCGGGGGGACGGAACACCCCTGGGTCTGCCTGAGCACACTGGAAACTCAACCAGCTGTGACGGGGCCCCAGAGCCCCGGGGCGTACGCTTACTCAAATGCAGTCAGAGCAGCAGAGAGCCCGGTGCCGCCTCCTCCAGTCTCCTACCTACAGGGAGTGGGCATGGGCCAAGCGAGCTTCAAACTGGAGAACTCATGAGGTCATCTGTCCACACGCCTGGGGCTCAGCGAGCTCAGACCTCTGCCCAGGAGGCTGGCGTCCTGGCCACACAGCTCTCCCTTAAGAGGGTTATGGTCTAGGCCTCTCTCCACAGCACCAAGAGTAACTCCCACGCCGCTCACCTCCCACCAGGCACCCATTGTGGGCCCACCCAGGCAGGTGTCCACTTGGAAGAGACATGACACCCACACAAGCAGAGCTGGCCGAACCCACAGCTGCGGCAAGAAGAAAAGATGTGGCCTAAGGTAACTGGTCTGGCCTTTGAGCTGGCTGCCCAGTGCCCTGATTGTGACTGGCAAGGACAGGTTCTTCACCACGGCTACAGCTTACAGTGTTCGTCGAAGGGAGGAATATTCACTGTGTCCCAGGTGCTTTGTGCCACAAGCTCATTTAAACCCAAGCTTAGGTTTTAGTGACCCTGGGGTCATCCTTTCATTTGGTGATGGGACGAGCAAGCGGAGTTCAGAAAGGAAGTGATTTTTCTGAATCACAAATCTCAAGGAGGGGCAAAGATGGGCTAGAACCCATGGCATGGGATAAAGCCCAGGCTAGCCCCAGGATGCAATGCCCTTCCTCCCGAAAGGGGTATGGGGGTCGGCGGACCTCAGAGGTTCACATATGGGCACGTAACCTCCAGCTTCCTCTCTATGGCTAGGAAGGGGCCCTCACACAATCCCTGGATCTGAAAAAAGAGGTCTTCCAGGAGCTACTAGCCACCGCGAGGGCAGCCGGCCGGGAGAGCAGCCGGCACGCGGACGGAGGTGGGGGGAGAGAACCACAGGGAGACGGGGTCGGAGCCTTGATCAGGCCGCACCTGAAGGCATCTTCCCACGAGACTCCCCAGTGAACTGATACTTTACTTTTAAAACTGTCTGAGGTTGGTTTTCTGTTACTTTCATCTGAAAACAACCGGGATGATGGCTGGTACAGGAGGCTCGACAACACACAGCAAGGAAGGACCGAGGAGTTGTTCCTCAGCCTGATGACGCAGAAGAGAAAATACAAGCCCAAAAGCATCAAGTGGAATTTCTGAAATCTCATAAGGAACGCATGTTTGAGCCAAGACCTAGAACCCCAGGCTGAGGCTGGGGTGTCACCTAGTCTAAGCCTACCTCCACCAACCCCCCAGGCATCCAGACGGTGGTCCCACAGCCTCTGCCAAGAGTCGGGTCTTAGGGAAGAATCCTTCAGTTCCACAAGTGCCTGAATCAGAGTAAGTGACTTCAGAGAGAGCTAGGACAGATTTCTGACCAGATGCAGATGTCTGCAACAAGAAACATCACTTCCCACCAACCTGATCTTTAAACATGGGAGCCCCCACACACCTGTCTGGATGTGACACAACTAGGGGCGTGTGCCTTCCTGCAGTAGCCCAAGGAGAGCTCTCTCGGTGTACCACCTTTTCTCTTCTGGGCTTCAAGCTGGAAATGCTTTTAGGCTTTTCACCACTCATCCCTGGAGCAAGAGCACGTCAAACATAGGCCTGGAGCCCCACGTGTTACAGAACACAGTCTGGCTCCTCTGCCTCATGAAACACCCCAGGACAGGGCTCACTGCTTACGATGAGCAGTTAGTAGAGGGCCGAGGCTGGGAGCAGCAGACAGCTAGCCGCTCGCTCAGGTTGGCTCCTGGGTCACCGTTCAGCTGTCCACCAGGTTGCTGGGGGCCCCTCAGCCAACTTCATCTGCATATTAGGCAGCTTGTCTTCAAGCTGGGTTCAGGGGTGGCACTACCCACCTCCTTGGGCATGGGCAGTGCAGTGCTAGCAACCCCACTACCCCTCAAGATGCCCGATTCTGGAGCAGAGACCAGGTCACAGAGAGCTTGGCCACTGACCGGCAGTGCTCCGGGAGGCACGGGGGCACGGGGCCTGCCTCTACCCACAGCGCCATGGCTGATGGGAGATGTAACTGGCCCAGAAATGCAGCCCGGTCAGAAGGTGCCACCACGGCAGCCAGTAATGAAAAAGCCACCAGTCTCCCTGTTGTAGGGGATGGGGCTGGATAAGAAGCAGCGCCCCGCGGAACAAACTTTCTAGCCCAACACCTACTTCTTCACTGAAAAAATCCCCGCCCCCCTTTCTTGCATCGAGAAGTCCTGTTGTAAGAGAGAGGCAAGAACTCACACTATGGGGCAGTTCTGGCGCTCACAGAGAGCTTCGCTGAAGGGTTTCTTCCCACACAGCCCCCACTGCACGGGGAGGCTGACTGGCTGCTGTTACCTAAGAGAGCCCGGGAAGCTAATGACGGGACCCCTCGGGCACTTTAAGATAAAAGAGACTAAATTAATTTTATTGTTAATGGAAATACATAATTAGAATGTTCCAAATCTGAATAATCTAGTCTTTGAAAACCTCTGGCAAACAGGCATCCAATCTAGAACCTTCTTCCCTGGCCAGCCCAGAGGGAAGAGCACACTAGCGCAGAGCACACTAGCAAATCCCTCACAGCAGCCCACCCCATCTCTCCCGGACCTTGAGTCAGCGATCCTGGCCTAGAGAAGGCCCTGGCACACAGGGCTGCAAGGCCAGGAGGACACCCCCACCCCTCCTCTTCTGAGGAGCTTCGCAAGGGAGGGGTCTTGGTGGCTTATCCCAGACTGAACCTGCCGGCACAGGCAGAGACCCCTTGCCGAGACGGAGCAAGCACCCAAAGACTGGAAAGTAGGATCTTCGGTAGGACCAAGGGAAGCAGGTGATGGGAAGGGTCGTGGAGTGCTGCCTCAGCGGGGCCCGCCCACCCCCGCAGTCCCATAGTTGGGACAGGGAGTACACAGAAGACGAGGAACTTCTGGCTTTCCTCCCCAGGAGTTCACCAATGCCGCACAGGCAGATAATGTGGCAGGGACGATGAGCCAAAGCTCTAGCCCAGAATCGCGGGGGTCCTACGGGGCCACAGCCGCCCGAGCACCTGAGGGAAGGCAGGTGTGCAAGAGAGTGGCATGGCAGTGGGCACACAGGGTGCTGACGAGCACAGGCACGTGGGCCCATCTGCCTGGCAGGATCTGCTTAGCCGCCTCCACCAAAGCGCCCGTGGGGCCAGAGGGTCGTGGCCTTGGTTTCGCAGACTCCGCTACAGCACCCTCAGGTACGTCAGTGTCCCTGGCAGCGCCCCGTGGGGAGGCTCACCTTAAGGGTGTGCCGCTGGAGCCAAGTCACAGCTGCGGGGCTCGGCTCCCGAGGGGATGATGCGCTCCCCCCGGGCCCCCAGGGTCCGCGCCTGCCCCCGGGGATAAACCAGAGGATGATGATGGGAGAAGAATTTCAGAAGTTTCATAGTCTCCCTAATATTAATTTGGGGTTCAGTTTGCTCCATGGTAACAGGGCTCGGTACAAGGAAGGACCTGCAGCTTCTGGCGCCAGGCCATGACAGAGCTGGGCAGACTCCAGCTCTTGCACTTTTCTGTTAAACGCCTTTCCTCCCTGGAATTTATCAAAGACCTCTGAAGTCCCACACTGCTCGGTTCTCTCCAGAAGAGCCGGCCATCCTTAAGGCTTGAGAAAAGAAAGCAATTCACAAGATTCTTCCTTATGAAGTGGAGGTAGGGCGAAAGGGAAAAAGTCACATCGGGCCTGTCAGGAAGTGTTTCCCCAACGCCAGACCTTCCTGTCATCCTAACCCCCGCTCGCTGTTGAGCTTTAATCTCGCCTGGGGAGCAGGACCCCGGCAACACCCCAGCCACACCTGTACACCCGGGCAGAGCTGCGCTGTTCTGCGGGAGCCCCCCGAAGTCGGCCCCACGCAATACTAGCTTAGCTCTCTGTTGTCTGTTCTCCTCACTATCCAATTCACACAGGAAAGGGGGAGCCAGAGGGATGCAGGGGATCCAGCTCCATCTCCAAATCAGAGTGTGGAGTCCACGAGGCCTGGGCCCTACCACAGGCAGTAGGCAAAGGCAGCTCCCCCCATCCCCTCATACCACAACCACGACGTCTTCTGATTCCTGATCTGCCCGAGCTCTAGGAAGGAGGAGCCTCCAACCACTGTATACACCAGCTCGTGCTCTGCACCCAAACTTCAGCACATCCTCCAAAGAGTGGGTGGGCCTGCTCGCCCCTGACCTCCCAGGCACCGTGCCCAGGCCACATGCCGGACCCTGAGGCACCACAGAGGCACCTGCTCGAGTGCCGGATCCTCTTCTCCCACCTCACTACCAGGGGAGGGCTAGCCGCCTCCACCGTGGGGGCGTTGGCGCTCCTCACCTGGGTTTGGGGACTTCCAGGGGACTGCTACCCATCCTGAAAAAGTTGTCAGAATGGTTTGAGGATGAGGAGCTGGAAGACCTGGCTTCCGCCAGCCCCTGCTGGGAGGGCAGGCGTTCCTCCGCGGGCTGCGGCCGGCTCCAGAGCACGCCCTGTGGAGAGGACGAGTGGCTCTTCCTCCTGCAGCACAAGAGCGGGATGCTGGTCACGGGGCGGCCCAGGAAGCCCTCTGCCCTGGGAACAGGCATGTGGGGGTGGGCACTCGTCCGCACCCACTCTGCGGGAGCCCCGGCAGCCAGGGCTGGTCTTCATGGAGGGGCGGCGGCGCCCTAACGCCAGCCTCCTGACCGTGGTGCTCGCATCGGAAAAGGGGCTCCTCACAGTGCAGTTCCCAGTCCTCCCCCCATATGCAAACTCTCGAGTCATTTGACCAGGGAGGAAAACTCATCGGGTTCTCGGACTTGATCACATTCGCAAGGAGGTGGCCCTCGAGCAAGCTCCCAATTCCTGAACATCTTGCATTCACCTTCTATTTTCTCCTTTTTTGTCAACCAGCTTCATACCTTCCAGGCAACCCAGCCCTCAGGGAGTCCCCTCGACACCAACCTCCCCCACCCCGCTGTCAGCCCAGTGCCGCAGCTCCTTCCTTCATCCCGCAGGGAGTCCTGGCCCTGCACGCTCCAGGGCCACCAAGGGCAGTGCCCACACCAACCAGATGGTCGGTCTCCAAGGCGCCCCCCCAGACAGCGGGGCACGGAGTTGAAGCCCTCAGCCTACTGTCAGGGGCTCCTTTGTTCTGGAAGCTCCCTGGAGCTGGCTACAGCTGCGCGCAAGCTGCGCTCCGGGCTGGCCCCTCACCAAGCTGCCTGAGTCTGTGCTCCTGCGGGGACCAGCTCCACAGTCTCATAGGTGAAGCTCCCGGCGGCGCCTGGGGAGCTCTCCATGACCAGGGAGAAGTCGCTGCCAAGGCTGGTGGTGCTGCCACGGTCTCTCCGTCCTAAAGAAACCAGCATCAGCAGTCAATACAGTATTTTCTCTCATGACTGATCCCCCACCTCTTCCACACCATACAGCTAAAAAGAAGCTTCTAGAACAAGTAGTTCCCATGTGCCCTAAACTCAGAAAGATGCACAGAGTAAAGGAAATCTGCTAAGGCCTGGAACTCACTCAGCATGCAGATATCTTCCAGGGTGAAGCCATCCCGGGTGGGCAAACTCTTCCTCCTACAAACAGAACCCAGAACAGTGAATTCCAGATTGGACTGGGCTCTCTGTCCACCCAGGAAAGCGGCTCACGGACACAGGTCCTACTTAGAGTGTCACAAAATACGAGGCCCACTTCTGGGACCCACCCATCCTGGCTCCGTCCAAGATATGTGCAGAGATTGCTACGGCCTGTAAGGCCTGCCTCCTCCCTGTCAGCTTGGCCCTTCAGACCTCAAGTTCAGCCCAGCCCACCAGGAGCTTAGATTCAAAGGCAAGGGAGCTCAGAACATGCCAGGAGTGGGTCCGAGGCAACTGTCGAGGCGAGATGGCTGGAAGCAGGCCCCGCTCTCTGGTGGGGGCTGCTAGGAAATGCAGCAGCCCAGGGAGGGCAGCGACGAACTCAGCAGAACCAGCTGCCCCAGGGCGGGTGTGGACTTGCCGTTCCATGCAGCAATGCACCTGCTTTCCTAGTCACCAGAGACCACTCATCCCCAAAATCTTTCCACTAGGAAGACTGCAGGTGGCCACCCAGTCCCGCCTTCCTGCTGAAGGGCTCCTTCACCTACTGGCCCTCACCAGGGATACCTACCCCGGCCTTAGAAAGTGGGGGGGGGGGTGTAAGGAGGGAGGCCAGCCTGCCAAGCACGCCAAGCACGCAGGGAAGCAGGGCAAGGATAAGATGGTAAGCACGATCCCGCCTGCCTGCCTGCCCTTCCCAGAGTGCCACGGGCCCAGTGAGAGTGGCGGGTCTGCCTTACCTCTGTGTCTTCAGAGCAGAGAACTCCTCAGAGATGATATGCTTCAAAAAATTGAAGCAGAAAAAGAAAATCTGAAAGAGAAAAGCAGCACACCGTGAGAACGATCGGGGTGGGGGGGGCCTAGGTGGCAGACTTCTCAGAGAAAAGCTGGTCACTCCGCTCCATCCCCCCACAGTGGACGGCTTCTGCTGTGGGGACCCCACTGCACTTGCCGGTCTATAAACAGTATGGGTGCGGGGAGGGCCTGGCAGGCCAGGCGAATGATGCAATGGGCGAGGAAAGCAGCTACTGTGTTTCCTTCCTGGGGCTGCGAGAGGGTGACCCAGTGGGGATTTTTCAAACCACCCCACTTTATTTCACTAACTCGTCCCTTGGAGAAGTACCCGCAGTATCCCAGACCCCATAAGGTTTCCTCCAGGAAGAGGGGAGGGAGGGGCCTGCTACCTAAGTGTCTTCACCACAGACCTCTTAGTCATCGACATGCTGTGTCTGTGGAAACAAGGTTCAGGGCAGGGGACAGGGTGGTGGTCACTCTTCCTTGACTTTTTTGGTTCTAATTTTTAAAGGTCAGTGCCTTGAGTGTGATGTGGACATAAAAGCCCAAACCCTGATGCCCAGCCCCTCCACTCTGAAGAGACCCTGTGGGGGGATGGAGCGGAGTGTCCAGGGCTTCAATGTAGACCCCACAGGCTCACCCTGGCCCAGTCTCTGAAGGCAGACTCTAGCCCGCTTTGGGGGTTGCGGGGACAGAGTGGAGGGCAGAATGTTCTGGAGCAAGAGCAAATCTCCAAATAAGAGGCTGCAAAAGGGCCCTCCAGGCTGATTTCAATTCCAAACTCGCTGCCTCTGACAGAGTTCATGGAGGCCTCTGAGGAACAGGCTTATGAGCTCTGCAGCCCTGGCAGATGCGATAAGTGCTCAGAAGCAGAGATTTGGAAGGGGAGAGCAGCAGCTGAGAGGGAGGAACAAAAGGAGGAGACATAAGATAAGATGCCCAGAAAGAAGGCAGCCTCAGGAGGATGAAAGAGGCTTCAGGAAAATGGGGGGGGGAGGGAGGTGGCGGAGAGAAAGCCGACACCCTGTTGTGGCTCCCAGCCGGGCATCCGAGCTGCTTCTCTTGGCGAGGCCAGACTGTCGGCACCAGAGGCTCAAGGTTAATCACATCACGCAAGGTCACAGAGGTACTCAGTGGAACAACTAGGGTTCAAGTTCAGGCCTGACTGTGGGTCTGGGTGCAGGGAAACGAGTGCACCGAGCAAGCAGGGATGGAGAAAAGTGGCAGGAAGGACGGGGCGTGGGGGGCAGAGAGGAGGAAGGCGGGACCGTTTCCAGACAGGAGGGGCCCTGGAGCCTGCTGGCTGTGCCCAGGCTGAGCTGGGCTGGGGGAGAGCAGCGAGGGCAGGGCCTTGCTTTGCAGATGGCCCTGGAGCTTACAAGTTGCTGATGATTGTGAAGAGAAAGAGAATGCGGCAGAGCTGCTGGATTCAGCTGTAAGGAGATGGCGGGGGGGGAGAGGGGGGTTTGGGTTGTATGGAAAAGGACTTGTAAATTGGTTCCAGAGCTGAGCTCAGAAAACAAGGACAACCCTAGGGATGACAGCAAAGAGAAGAAAGGGGACGAGGACCAACACACAAGGTCACGGGCAGCCTTGGGGGCAAGCCTCGCCTCCGCTGTGCAGGCTGTGCAGGCGAGGAGGCGAGGCCAGGACTGGCGCGGGAGTGCTGCTGCCTTCCCATCCTGCTGTGCGGTCCCAGCGCCAGTGGGCCGGGAAACACCCTGAAGTGCGGACACCAAACAGCCCGTCATTCTGTCCCTCTCAGCAAGAGCACCTGAGTCTTCAGAGGCCTGCTATGTGCCCGCAGGCCCGGGCGGCACCCACCTCCTCTCCTTTGCTGAGCCGGTCTACCAACATGTGCCTGCAACAAGAGGGCAGCAGGTCAGACACGCAGCAGCCCCGAGACAGGAGGCCAACGGGGGACCCCGGCCCGGAAAACGCACGGCTCTGGCTCCACAGATTCAGCTGGGGCCCGATGAGCACCTTCGGTCCCAAAGGGACGGGTCTGTGCTCACCTTTGACCCCACATAGGAAGCACCCCACCCCTGCACGCACAGAAACACAGTGCTCAAGGCACCGCCCCGCCCCCTGACATTCCCAGAGGCTCACCCGAAGAGGAACCAGTCGTAGGCCACGGTTAGATAGAGGATTTCAGCAGGCTTCAGGGACGTGTGGATGAGCCCGTCCTGCAGAGATGCCGCAGAGGCACCCATGTCAGAAGGCTACCCCCCCACCCCCAACACAGAGCCCTCACCCCGTCAGGAGCTGAACCGCAGTGACAGACCCCGGCGGCCAGGCTGCCCAGCGCCCCCAGCCCCTGCTCTCAACACGCGGGAGTCCCTTACCCCCATATCTGTCCTACTTTCCGGAGACAGTCCCAATGCTCCGGGGCCCTGGTAGGGCCCCGCGTGCTCCCACCCGCGGCCCAGCAACATACTCACAGCCCACAAGGAAAGGCGCAGCAGGGAGATGAAGAGGGGGGTGCGGTCCCAGCCTGAGATGCAGTGCACCAACAGCCCGCTGTCATCTGTGGGACACGCGACAGGAGGCCCCGAAGAGAGGGACATGGGCTCATGAGACGGGGTGGGCCACCCCCTTGGCCTGTTAGTCAGGTCACCCCCAGCCTTCCTCTTCCCAGCGGGCCTCCCCAACATTCTTCTCCAACCTCATCTCAGAAGAGTGGGTGGCGGCACTGGCCTCTGTTCACACCACGCCTTCCTTCTGGCTACAGTTCTTGGGGCTTCCAGGGAGCCAGTTCAGTTGGAGCGTGACTCAGGCAGGGCTGACCGGCATGCCCTGGCCAGTGCTTCCCAGAGGGCAGGACAGGTCAACACTGTGCAGGGCCACCCCAGGCGTGCAGGGCATATAGGACCCTTGGCCAACTGGCATAATGTGAGCGATTGCCCTTCTCCCCCAGTTCTTCAGAAGCCCCTGAGGGACAGCACCGCCCCAGGCAGGGAGCCACTGCCACCCTTGGGCAGGCAGGCATGGGGTGATTCTGCAAATGTGGCCCTGGTGAGTGTTCAAGGATGGGCATGGGTGCTGGGACAGAGGCAGCTCTCTTGTGGGGCAGTCAGAGGTGGGAAGCCGTTGGAACGGTGGCTGGCGTGAAGCTAACTAGACAGCAGGCATGGGAAACAAAGAGGTGTTCCGTGATGGTCAGCAGGCACCTGTCACTGCGCTTGGGCCTTCTTGCTTTAGAAGCCAACACGGTCCCACTTGTTCAGGCCAGTGTGACCCAGCGCAGCCCACAGGAGTCCTGACGGCAGACAGCCCAAGCCTGCCCTAGAGACACCGAGGCCAGAGAGCGAGCCTGGGAGCAGGCCCTACGCAGCTGGGCCTGGCTCTCTCATCTTCCTGACTTAGAAGGGCTGAAACCAGCCCCACATACAAAACCGACGCTCAAAGCTTGAAGGTCAGCTCGCCTGGGCAGAGGCCCCTGCCTGTGCTTCAGATGGTAGCAAGGTACTAATTTTGCCTTCTAGGGACTTGAGGACGTGGAATAAAACTGCCAATGGACCAGGAAATACCCAAACCCTCCTCCCTTCGAGCAAAGGCAGGTGTGCGGCCCGCAAGCACACGTGCCTGTTGTGGTCTGGAACCCGGGAGGCCGTGGGCACGGATGTGGACTCACCGTCACTGTTGATTATGGAAAGCAGCAGTTTCAGGTAGTTTTGTGTTTGTTGCACCAGGTCCCAACTCTGCAGGAGAAAAAGGATAAAAGGATCTAGAAATAGATATTTGACTCAGACTGGGCCTTTAAACATGTTTAAAAAGGGAAAAATGCCAGGAGCTATTCTGAGTGACAAGTGCCCAAGGCTCCTGGTCACAGGCCGTTAAGTGCCAAATCCTGGATAATCGAGACTCCAGGCCCCACTCCAGCTCCTCCCCCTCTGCCTGGGCCCTGGCTCACTTTAACCCCAGCGAGGTTGAGGAAGGGAAAGCAGAGCCAGACAACATGGCTCCAGGCCTACAGCAGCAGCCACGAAGCAACCACATGCGGGCCTCCTTGGCGGAGGTTGGCCAGGGACTCGGCAGTAGAGGAGCCTGACCCTGTGGCCGCTGCTGCCAAGCGCAAGAGTCCTTCCTTCATGTGCCACCACATCACAAACCAGGGACACATCACCCTCCTCCACCAGGTTTCATTTCCTTCTCCCTGCCAGTCACCGCACAGCCCATCTTTTAATGAATAATAAATGTTGTCTGTTTGGAAACAATCTTTTAAGACAAGAGGCCCACGAGGTGGGAGATGGAAAATAAAAGCTTTAAAGAGAGGGTTCTCCCTGTGGCTGTCTCCTCTGCCAGGCCGGTCTAGAACAGATGCTCCGAGAAACTGTGCACTAGGAATTGGAATTCGGGGGAGGGCAGGGCTGGTCCAGTTAGCTCTGCGGCCCCCCTCTTGCTGGGGACAGCCTCACACACAACTGCTTATCTGTGTTCTGGGGCGCTACAGAGGCCCGCGAAAGCCAGCGAGGGCGCTTCCCAGGGGGGAGGGTGAACACAGCACCTGTAACTGGAATGGATTTCCCAAGAATTTAAAACAGGTTCATTTACCTGACCCTCCACAGCCTCTGGAGAGTGCTGACCCACTTTCAACAGCTCCAGAGGCAGCGGCTGCAGCTGCGCTAATAAAGCCGCCAGCAGCAGCACAGGGTCCCAGCTCATCTGGCGAGATGTGGCTCACACCAGAGCCAAGAGGGCTCCTCCGAGCTGTGATTCCCGCAGGAGGAAGCGGCGCAGGGGGCGGGCCCTCCATGGAGCAGAGCCCAGGGCAGGGCAGGGGGCCTGCACCCGCAGGGGAGGGCAGGGAGTCAGCAGGCACTGGGGCCTGTGGTGCAGCCCAGGCGGCTACAGAGGGACAGCGAAGACCAGGGAGAGGCGCAGATTCATTGCCGGGCGGGAGAGGACCACAGGTTGGGGAGCACGGGGGAGGTCCGGGCCCCAGTGGCACAGCTAAGCTAAGCTGGGGGCTGACCCCTCCCCACCGCCAGAGGCAGAGTTTATGGTTTGGGTCACCTGCCGGCAGCTGGATGTTTCCTCCAGTGCTAGAGACTCAGCCACGCATGGAGAGGACCACGGCAGGTGAGGCAAGGCGGGAAAGCCAAGGCTCCTCTCCGACTCTCACCTCCATGGCTCCTCAGTGTCTCTGGGCACAACGCTGAGCACTGTGCTTCGGTTTCTATGCTGCAGCGCGCTCCCGAGGCTGCTGACCCGCCCAGCTCAATGATCTCTCTGGAATCTTTCTCTGTGACCAGTGGTCAGCCCCTGCTACGCAGGCGGTGCCACTGCAGCCTCTTTCCCAGACTGAGCCCTGGGAGGTCAAGGTGGTTTTCGCATCCGGGCAGCTCCAGGGCTAAGTGCTTAGGGACTGGAACACCCACAGACCATTCATGGTCAGGGGGTGCTTGAGAAGTAGCCACTGGAAGGGGGTTTAGGGCACAGGGAGAACAAACCAACCTCTACGCGAGTCAACCCCTGAAGGTACTGTCAACCCCAATTTCCAAGGGAAATGAGGTCATTTGCTGAGGCCACCGAGTCTTTTGAGACAGGCCAAGCAAGCGGAGGCCTGGGCCGGGGTTTCTGCTAAGCAGAGCTCCTGCTTACACACAGGGCCTCTTCCCTGAGGGACACACATCCCTGGCAGGGTCAACACACTGAGCCCCTACAGTCACAGCTTTCGGTGGGTAAATAGCTCCTCTGATCTGGTTGTATCTGTACAAGGAGAAAATAGAGATAGAAGGAACGAGAGAAAGGGAGGCTTGCATAGGGCCTGGCTGAGACTCTGCAGACCACAAATGAAGTTGGAAGCTTGTAGTTTCTTTTGGCTACTCAATCTGGGGCTTGAAAGCAGGGAGAGCACCCCACCTATTCCTTCTCCAGGCTTCCAGGACATGACTGGCTGGCTCTCCTTCCTCATGCTCCCTTTTTTGTGGAAACACCTGCACAGGCAAGACCTGACACCACTCAGACGTGTTCAAATAGCACCTGCTCTGCGATCAGGGCCTACACGCACAAGACAAGAGCCAGCACGCCCCGCCCTTCCAGAACCCCACCATCACAACAACAAAATGCAAGGTGCCAGGGGAGCATGCTGCTGCCTAACGGGAGGGCCAGGCTCAGAGAGGGGGCCTGTCTGGGTGGGGCTGTCCAGGCCCGGGGGAGAGAAAGGCAGATGGGCAGGACATCGCTAGGTATTCACTGGCTCTAGCTTCTATGCTGGGGGAGTGCAGATCGGTGTTCCCCGTCCTCTTGGAGCTAAGCCCACGAGGATGGGGAAGCAGATCGCTCATCACTGACTACAGCTCAGTGGAAAATTCCATGAGTTCAGTAGATGCCGGCATGTCACCTGTGGGGCAGGGGAGGGGCCAATCAGGAAGTCTTCTGGAGAGTACACCTGAGCCAGATCCTCGGCTGTGCGTCAGCTGATAAGGCAGCCAGGCAAAGCAGGCAGATGTGGGTGGGTGGGAAGAGGCTGGGGAGGGGGAGACCTCGATGGCCTCTGGGCTTGTGCGGGCCAGACAGGGTGGGGAAGGGCCTGTCTGGTGGGCAGGGCCATTCCACAGGGAGGGTCGCAGGGGAGAGGGCACAAGGGAAGTAATTTTAAAGTTTCTATAACCAAATGAGGTCAGGCAGCTCTGCGCTGCTTCTGGCAGAACACGCATTTAAAAGGAAAAATGAGAAAAGTCAGTAAGCCCAGAGCTGCAAAAGCAGCCTCCACAGGGTCCTCTGAAATGAGAACCCCCAGTGGACACAAGTCTCTGATGGAGTCACGTTCAGAAAGTGTTGGTTTCTGCGCCGGGAGCAAATTACAAGTGTTAAAACAGGTAAGCCAGACCTCCCTCCCAAGACGGTGGCGGCCACAGTGTCCTCTGGGCCCCTCCCTGATGTGCCTGCTCAGCCCGGCCCCTCACCTGATACTGGCTCCAGTCAATATTCAGAGAGCAAGTCAGGAAGTCAGGGATGCTCAGTGGGGCATCAACGTAGTCCTGAGGACAGAAAGACACCCGTGAGAGGCAGGCTGGCTGCTGGGGGACCCCATGTGACTGGGCAGGCAGTCCCCCTACAGGGCTCACCTCCTCTGACCAGATGCCAGGAGTGACAGCTTAAAAAAATCAGAGACCCGATTACCCGGATGGAGCTTTTCTCCCTCAGCTTTGAGTGTCTGCTACCCACGCAGGGACACCCCCCACACAGGGACACCCCCCACGCAGGGACACCCCCCACCCAGACCCCGCCTCCCCGGGCTCCCGGGGCTGCTCCCACGGCCACAGGGGGAGTGAAATGCTGCATCCACAGGGACAGTGGAACGAGGAGGAAGGACTTTTCCTATCGGTCCCTGAAAACTCCTTTAAAGAAAGGAGGGAACTATCGGGGGAAAGGAAAGTGATGTGCCAAGACTCTGGAAAGTAGATACGCGGAGATAAGGGAGAGAAAATGATGAGACTCGGGGGACAGAAGAGGAAAAACGGGGTTGCTGGCCCCCAAAGACCAGCTGTTCTCTACTGTCTCCCTTTAAAAGAAACGCAAAACCAAGCCGAGGAGGGCTGCTGCTCATACCTGATTCCAGTTAAAAATGAGCCCTTCAGCTATGTAATCCCGATCCTTATATTCCTTGAAAAATTCACAGCCTGGAAAAGAAAGGCCGAGATATAACACCACCCTTCCTGGCCCCCGGGCTCCCGCGACGCTCTGGCTGGGCCAGGGCCCGGTGCTGCCGGAGCAAGCTGGCCACCAGGGCACACGCGTCTCACACTGAGGGCCTCCGGTGACGCCGCGGCTGGCCGGTGGGACTGGGCAGGTGACAGCCTCCCCCGTGAGCGACACCTGCGCACTTCCTCGCGCCTCCCCATCTGTGGTCGTGGCGCCGTCACTTCTCCCTCATTCAGGACCCCGTCTTACCCATCCCTGCAGCCCCAACGGCCAGCAAGCAAAAAAAGCCTGGCTTACCATCCGGGCGCTGGCAGCACCTTCGCAGCAACGTCTTTAGTTACAGAGGATCACGAACCCAGCCCTCTAGCACCAGCCCAGCAAGCGGTCAGGGGAGGGCTGCATGTGGCCACATACGAGGAGGGACCTCACACGTGCCAGAAAAGTAACAGGTGTTCGAGAGACAAGGCCTTCACCCACAGAGCTGCCAGGAGGAGCATTTCTGGATCATTCATGAGAAGCTTTGTAAGCAGCGCCGGCAGCCAGCCCTCGGAAGTCCAGAGACAGACGGGGGCGCGAACAGAGCTCTGGCCACAGGCCCAGGCTCACAGCCCAGCTCTTCCCTCAGCTGTGACTGCACCCAGGTTGTTTGACGTTTCTAAGCCTTGATGTTCTCATTTGTAAAAGGTGGCTTACAGGCGGCCTCCCTGGGGGCGCAGGGGTTAAAGTCTCAGCACTATCAGCAGCCACTGCAGCACGAGTTTGATCCCAGGCCAGCGAGCAACCCACACGGTGCAGCAGACCTCTCCTGTCTCTCCGCTGTTCCCCTCAGCAGTGTGTTTCAGTAGATCTGCCTATTCTGTTCCCCACTGTCTCCAGTGAGTCCTCTCACACCCCACACCTCTGGCCTGTACCCCAGCTCTTGTATGCATTAAAAAAATAATAAATAAAAGGTGGTCACAGCTGAAGCAATACACCACCTCACACAGCACTGGTGCAAGTGGCACCCGAATGACAGTGCAGTTAATGCCGCTGCCAGAGCCCACATGCCAGCCCCACGACTGCAGTCAACGCCTGGCTCACAGAGGACGGGTGGCCGCCTCCAAGCACAGTGAGCACCCCGGGGTCACCATGGTTCTCGTCACAAGGGTGGAGAAGGCCCATGGAGAGCAGCGCTTGTGGTTTCTCTCAGGACCCACCCCAGCTCCTGAGAGCTTGTGCCTTAGACACACACACTCTGGCGACGTCCCCACAGGCAACGAAGGAGCTGTCCAAGATCTGTGGAAGTGGCCACAGGTCAATCAAATTCACAAGGAACTCTCCCGCAGCTCTCGACTACGCTCCTGTCTAAGACCACCCTGGGGCCAACAGGACGGCTCCTTTGGAGGCCCCGCCTGCGCGTTCTGTAGAGTCGCGCCGCATCCCACACACGCTGCTGCTCTCTGACCCCCAGGCCTCGCTGCCGAGGAGTGAGGAGATGGTCTTCAACTACAACACTCAGCCTGCTCTCGGGGGCCTCACTGGGAGAAAGAAGAAATATATGAGACAGAGGCCCTGAGCTTGTGAGCCCAGTGTTAGAAAAGACACCAATTATCTCCCAGCGCTCCTGTGAAGTGCTCTGTTTTCCCCGACTCGGGCTGAACAAATCAACATCGCAGGCTCCAGTTGAGCTCAGACCAGCCTATGACGCAGAAGCAATCTTCGCAAGAAATGGATAGAATTAAAATAGACTCAGTACCCAGGGCAATGCCTGCCGCTCATTACCTGAACAGGCCTCTGAGTGCGCCGAGAGGCGAGAGGGACGGGGCCAGAAGGGAGTGAGCGCAGCCACTCACGCAAGGAGAAAACCAACAAGGCCTGTGCAGTGCAGTTTCGGGCCCCGTCTGCGTTGGCGCCCTGACGTGTTTTAGAACACTTCTCGCGCTCCAGCCCAAGCCCAAGCGAGCTGACACAGAACCGACACCAACACGGTTCCCGTCCAGGTTCCTGACGAGGCCCTGAAATGGCGGCGAAGCGTATTCACAACCCGTTTGCATAATGGCGATTTGCTGCTCTCTTGATATGAGACAGTTGCAGGCACATGAAGAAATCCGAGAACCCAAGTAAACCAAGTCAACAGGGCCCCTCTGACGTTTGCCTGGGTGTGCTCTGGATCGCCCTCGCTTGGTGATCTTTACTCACTCCTCTTGCCCGACCCTCCCAGGAGTACCGACAAATCTGGAGAACAGGGGAGAAACCCACAGATCTTATCCTAGCAGTGTGGCTCCTTCCCTTCTCCCCATTTCTGTAGGCACGTCTCCCCTTGCATGGCTGAGGTTGTGCTACAGAATTCTGTATCCTGCTTAGACCTTAACTGTCTTCCGCATTAAAAGCTGAAGTGTCTGTGTGACGACGGAAGATTCCATTCCATCGGCAGCTGTACCGCCGCTCACAGAATTACACCCTGATCGACAGGCACACCCCCCAGGTTCTGCTAGTACAGACAGACATCAAGATACCATCTCAGCCCCAAGTCAGCTGGATTACGCCCTAGTCAGTAACTGGGTCAAAGGGTGTTAACATCTGGGGAGGCTTAAGACGAGGCACCGAGCTACAGGAGGAAGAATGCGCCACTGCTCGGCCGATAGTGGTTCCAAGCTGCTGGCAACATTCTCCCCAAACCAAGTCCTACGGGAACCCTAACACCAAGTGCCGCAGGCTGCCCTGAGAGCACTTCAGACTGGATCCCGCGGCCCGTCCTGGGAGGCAGGAGCTTGGTGGGAAAACCAGCGGGGGCTCCAGTGTAGGCGTCCCGTGTGGGACACTCGCGTCACCTGTGACTGAGCTGTCAAGTCCACAACACCGTCACCGCCTTTGGCTCTGTCCCACCAGGACGAGGCGCCACCCGAGCCTCCCCTCCCGTGTAGCCGTGTCGGCCCAGCACTGTCAGGGGCGCATCTGGCACTTTCCCCTGAAAGAAGCATCATTATCTCTGTGACTGAAATGGGTACTCAGAAGGGCTCAGGGACTTGCTCAAGGGCACACAGAGCAGGGCTAGGACTCACGCCCAGCTTTCCACGGCGCCAAGCGCGAAGCTGGCAGAGCAGAGAGAACAGCCAGGCGGAGGCCACGCTGAGAGTGCCAGGCACTCAGGGCTTGCAGTCTGCGTAGCGCCCGCTCACACCGATGAGGATGCCCTACCCACCAGGCGGGAGACGAAACCTGGGGTTTAATGAGAAGGCTCCCCGGCTCCACAGCAGCCTGCCGTTAGCTGTGTGGCCCCAAGATGAGGAGACACATCCAGCAGAGGACTGCGGGCAGATCTGGGGCTGAGAAGCAGGAGAGAAGCTTCAAGGGGAAAGAGGGCACTCCCTGCTGTCGGATGGTTCTCACGCTGATGTTAGGACTTTGACCTCCCCGGCTGAAGCAGGAGACACCCAAAAAAGGGATCAACTCAGCTTTAGAATCTAGTGCAGAGAATACCATGCTGGCCAGAGGCCATGGCGAGTCTGTGCACCAGAGGAAAATGCAGGTGCATGCACACCCAAGGGCTCTCAGGGCTCTGCAGCACGCAGAGGCCCCTGTACAACCACGGTCGGCTGACCAGGGCAATGACATCCTTCCACCACCGCCATGATAAATAACTGCGAGCCAGACTGAGCTAATAAGCTGCGCCAAGGTCTGACACCTGAGAAAACTTGAGGCTAGGAGAGAAGTGACTTGCTCCAGGGGTTATAGTGAGCACCTGAGCCAGACCTCTGTCCCCAGATTCTCTGAATGGAAAGCGCCTTCCAGAACACTGTCCAGCCCTACGTGGGAGAGCCTATGACTGGGGCCACAGTTTCCTCTGCTGAATGACAAACTCCTCCTGGAAAATTCCTGGGGCACCGACAGACTTAAGCGTAGGTGGTCTGGATGGTCTCCAAGTGCCCCCAGTCCTGGCTGGCACGTGGCTGGTCCCTGGCAAGAAGGCCCTACCTGGATACGGGATGGAGAGGAGGGTGAAGTCAGCATAGCGCTGGGCCTTGTCCACCTTCTCGGAGGAGGTTACACTGCAAGACAGGACACAAGTTGTTATGGCATCAACGTGCGTGCCCCATTCCCCAGTGAGTGTGGCAACCTAAAGTGGACCTCCTGGGAAAGACACTACTCTTCTGGGCGAGGGATGAGTCCCTTCAGCAGCACTTACTTGAAGCAATTAGGAACCCCAACTTCCAGCCCCTCGCTGACCATGCCTACCAGGGAGGGCCCCTCCCTCAAATGCTGGCGCCTGGTGCCACATAACCCCCACCTGCGCCCCACCACAAAGGCAGCAGCCTCCGACTCAGAGGGTAGAGGGAGACGTAGCCAAGTCACCAACACTGGCCAAAGGGACGGCCTGAACCCCCAGTGCTGGCAGGACACGCCGTGAAAGGGAAGGACCTGGGACGACCCTGACAGACGAAGGGAGGAATGGCCAGCACTATGCCGGCATCTGCAGCGGGCCGAGCTGCACTTAGCGTTAGTGTGCCTGGTTTTCTGAAAGAATCTCTAAGGAGGATGAAAAGTCAGTATTTTAAAATGATAAAATTTGGGGGCCTCCCTGGTGGTGCAAGGGGTTAAGACGCAGCACTATGAAGCTGTCCGCAGCCTCTGCAGCACAAGTTTGATCCCCGGCCAGGCAGGAGACCCACAGGGCGCAGCAGGGCAGATGACCCACAGGGCGCACCTCTCCTGTCTGGCCCGCTGCTCCCCTCAGCAGTGTATCTGTGGATCTGCCTGTTCTGTTCCCCACAGTGTCTCTGGTGAATCCTCTCACACACACACACCCCACCCCCAGCCTGTAACCTAGCTCTTGTATGCACAAATAAATCTTTTTTAAAAAATGATAAAATTTGGAAAGATGACCATTTCATCACCTGAACCCAGGTTCCATTTTTTAAAATTCTGCCATTATATGAAGATCTGGTCCACACTGGGTGTTTGTTACACAGCAGCAGGCGCCTGCAGTATATTGGGGACACACTGAGCTTTCTGGATTCCATTTTAAAGAGCTCTAATATGCCAGAAGCAAGACAGAACTTGCGGCCGGGGGCGAGGAGCAGGGGGAGACATGACTTCCATGGTGAAGAAGAGAAGGCGGCAGGAGTGCACCGAAGAGAGGCCCCAGACCTCAGGCACTACCCAGATGACCTTGAGCGAGTTGAGTTACTCAACCTCCCTGCACTGCAGTTTTCCTGCCTGCAGGAGGGGCTGTTGGAAGAGACCGTGAGAAGACGCAGCCCGAGGGTGAGGCCTGCACTTGGTGGGTGCTGGCTCCCCTCCACAGAGCATATCATGTACCGGCCTGGGGTATGTGCCCAGTACTTACTTCAGGCCGAACTTCACCTTCTTGTTCTCCACCATCAGGTCACAGATGTACTTGACAGACAGGTACCGAAGCAGCTTGATGTCATAGCCTCGGACCTTATCAAAGAGGTGAGTTTCGGAACTTCTAAAAGGAGAGACAGAGGAGAAGCTGCACAGCACATTCTCGGGGGCGGGGGGGGGGCGCGGGTCTTCAAGCAAGTAGAGATGTCACTGGCAAGAACTTTTGTTCCTTTTCCCCAAAAACTGCAGGGAGGACCAAGATAAGTCGACTGGTCCTGGGGAAGGTGCTGAGAAGGTGACTTTCCAAGAGATTACCCCGCTCTCTGGAACACATTTCAAAGAGGAGCAATTTGCAGCCGGGAACTGACCCAGGGCTTTCTGGCACTGCTTGACATTAAGCCAGAAGACTCAAGATAATCTCTGAGTTTTAAAAAGCAGCAAGCTGGCGGCTGATCATCTTTGAGCCTCCATCAGAGTTTATCTCCGTCCACCCACCTCCCTTTCCCCTATTTCTGACCATTTTTTGCCACATGATTTGCTCATAATGTAACAGACTGGAATTCTTCCTGGGAGATGGACATCTTAGTTATCTGATTAATTGCAAATACTAACAAGTGAATTCCCTCCACTTAGCAGGGCTTGAAGCAAGGAGAAAGATAAAAGTTTCCTAATCCCCAGGCTGCCTTTTGATCAGCTGCAGACATACAGGCAATGTGGAACAAGTAAATAGTCACTGGCAATTTTTTTTCATGTCCACTGATCTGATGTCCCCAGCAGCCTCCTAGCCAAAAATCCTGCAGGCTCTGGAGATGGCCAGGCCAAGGTAGAGGTCGTCTACTCTCCGGGAAGAGCTGAGCATTCCTGAACACAAGCCAGAGGTGCTGCTCTCAGAACCAGAGGCCGAGCCGGGCACAGTGAGACGCCGGCCCATGCGCCATGCCGTGATTTGGGGCAGCTGATGTTACTAGAGTGTGCATTCCAGAGATGCCAGGTGCCAGCTAGACACTTTTTATGTGCTACAAACCATGCACAGGAGCTTTTCCTAAATCTCCTACAGTGCTGTTTTCTGAAAACATCTGGGAAGGAGGCAAGAGCGCTCCCTCCCTAATGGGGGTCTTAGCTACTTATTGGTGTTAAGCTTTGTGAAGGGACCAATCATGCAACTGTGGAACTTCTAGTCTCTACATCGTCCAAGGGGGAGCTGTGTCCCTTAGCCCGAGATGAGCACCACGTATGCCAGGTGACACATGGAGAGCTTGCTGTCAGAGGCCTGGCAACCCAGGGCTGAAGACACACACAGATGTCTAGGCCGTTTCGGGTCTGTGGTGCCAGGAGCTGTGGCGTGACATTCTCTCTGGGACCCTGATGCACAACCAGGATGGATATAGACTGCTCAGGTATTCAAGAAGAGTCTGCCTTGGTGTGAAGCTACCCAAGGTCTTCCATAACTTTATTCCAGGGGCACAGATTTGGCAGTGGGAGGAAGGAAGCCAATCCACTCACCTGGACCAGTATGACAAAGGCCAGCACTGGCCAGACACCCTGTCCCTAACACAAGCCCAGACCCACAGTGACCTGGTACTGACCGAAGAACACAGTCCTCCTCCGTGACGTCCTCCACATCTGCCCAGGCATCATCAGCACCCCCTGCCGGAGAGACCCGTCTGTGAGCACTGAGGCCGAGGCCCAGGGATCCCCAAAAGGCCGTCCCCAGCCCCACCCTTGGGACAGCTCTATCCTCTCTTTCCGTGCCCGATGCCCGGAAATCATCTTCACCCCAAGCACCAACTCGGGTGATGGGAGGCAGAGGCCCAGGTCACCCCCAGCTCACCACACCTCCACCTGCGCCGCTGTGAGCGGGCAGCTACTCCTACAACCTCTCAGTAATAGAAGAAGCAGCTCAGTACTTACCTGAGAAAATATAGTTGTAGCCAGTGCGTCCATACAGCTCCCCCCACCCCGCCAGCGTGGCTGACCTGCAAATGTGCTGGAAAGAAACAGTGTTGTCAAGGCCAGGTGGTTCTGGGTGTTTTGGCTTTGTCTCCTCCTCCCTTCTCACGTTTCATGGAGCTATAACTGACACGTGTAAGTTAAGGTGTGCAGTATGCAGATCTGACAGACATATGCTGCAAAGTCACCGCCGTCACGGCGCTACCTAACACCTCCATGTCACTAGTGCCGTCTCTCTGCTGCGAAAACACTCAAGATCTATTTGCTCCACAACTTTCAAGTACATACAACAGGCTGGACAGATCTCTGTGCCGCATGTCAGGTCCCCAGAACTGCATCCTCCCATAATTGGAAGTCCATGCCCCCTGGCCACCGTGCAGATGCTTTTCTCAGGGACGCACAGAAGCAACGCCTGGCACTTCTGATACTCCCAGGCCAACAAAACAAGCCCAGGAGCACTCCCCCAAGCCCTGTCCCTCAGAGCCACAGTGGCCAGTGTGGGTATGTCTAGAACACCGCTCAAGGGGGCATCTTTCAAGCAAGAGGCACCGGAACACCACTGCCACAGAGAGGAGATGACACGCACGGGTGTGCGGTCTGGTGGGCGTCGCGTGTGCATGCGGCCTGCGGGTGCGGCGCTGGAGCAGTCGGGCCGTCCTCGCCCTGAATTCTCACGAGCCCACGAGGTAGCAGTGGGGTGGCAGGCACTTCTGCTGCTTTACAGAGGAAGAGAAAAGGAACAGGCACGGGGAGGGGAGCGACAGAAAAGGCCTTACATGCGGGGAAGCGGGAACTCCACCGAGAGCCCTGCCTCCGAAGCCTGCTGACCGCTCACGTCAGCTCAGGGCCAGCAGCCCCTGCAGAGGCCAATGGGGAGAAACACCGCAGCTTTTTTTTTTTTTTTTAAAGCAAGTCTCTCTACGCTGCATCAAGGAAACGCAGTAACCCACGATGCTTACATATTCTTTTGCTCTTTTCCTCATCACTGAAGCACCACTTGGAGAGCTAGAATTCTAGAAACCACAGACAACAGGCACACACTTCAGTATCTAATTTTAAGGCGGCCTCTGTAAGTAAGCTGTGTCAGAGGGGACCCAGCGGGGCTGGGCAGTGGGAGGCAAACTAGCCCAGAGGTCAGCTCATGCCAGGGTCGAAGCGGGCGAGGCGGGGACACAGTCCCGCCACACTGGGGAGCCACATGGGAACAGAGAGGGTGAGACTCCTTTCGGAACAGGTCACACAGGCTGGCAGTGTAAAGTGGGTCCCTGAAGACTGCAAGATCCTGCTTGAAGGCTTCTCCTCTAATGGGAAGGAAACAGCTTTGCCGCCATAGGGGTGTAGGTGGGAGCCTCTGGGTCACCCCCTGCTCTCCAAGGCTTAGCCGCCTGGGCAGAAGGCAGGTAACATAAATGAGCCCTGGATGCGGCAAGGGCAGGGTGGGGTACTGGTCAGCGCTGGGAGCAAGAACCAGTTCATGGGAGCCTGTCCTGGAAGCCTCCGGACGACCTGGGCAGATTCCTGGCTTCCGCGGGGCAAATCCTGGTGGGAGCTGCTGGGCTTCTCTGATCTGAGAGCATGAAAAACTGATGAAAACCATAAACTGTCTCCAGAAAAACAGGTAGACCCATAGCTGACCAGCAGTTCCAGGGGTTACTGGGCTCTCCCAAGTTCATTGTGGATCTGGGCCCCTGTGATGAGCCTCTGCTCGAAGTGGGTATTAGGAGCAGGAAAGTGTCAACCCAGGCCCCTGAGGCCCAGAAGTCGAGGGCGCGCGACTCGCCTGTCACCTGCCAGCCTCCCTGTCCTCCCATTGTTGAAGCTGCTAACACCAAGTCCTGCTCTTCTTTGCATTTTTCCTGTTAAATCCCTTCAGAGCAGATGCACACGCTCTCTTCGGCGTTCATCTCTTGAGACCGCTTCCTGAATTTTCCTCAAGGTTCAGATGCCTCTCTCTGCGCGCAGTTCTCCCGCATCCCTTTGCTCTGTCCGTCTGTTAGTAACTGAGCAGCCAAACCTGAGCCTAGAGAACGTGTCCGCTTGAGAAGAGCAGGGAAGGCAGCCAGCCCCCCGCGGGGACACAAAACTCTGCAGGAAGGTCCCGAGCCAGCAGCCCCGTACCCCACCGCACACCCTGACTGCCGATGCCGCTCCTGGCCTGGTTCTGACTCCTGAGCTATCTGCACTTTAAGTTCAGCTCTTCACAGAAATCACTCTGGATGTCTTCCATGTACCTAATCAGGAGACCTCAAATTCTGCATTAGGAATACTGTTCTATTGGATTTGCTAAGAGTAACCAAAGCCGGGCACACAGAATAAAGGTGGCCAACCTCTGGTGCCCAACTTCTAAGGGAGAAAACAGGAGGATGACTTGTCGCAATTTTAATTGTTTAAAAGTCAGACACCAGCGCTGGCACTGGCATAGGAGAATGTCTGACCCTTAAAGGTTTTAGCTTTTACATGTTAACATATCCTATTTAATATATTCAAATTACTGTATCAGCATGAAATCACTTAAAAATTACTTTATATTTTTCTTACTAAGTATTCACCATTACTATAAATATTTATACTTACAGTCCGACTCAACTGGGATGCAGTTTTCAACATTTAAAGGGAAAAGCAGTATTGCCCCCAAAGTTGAGTTTAACAACAACAAAACTCCTACGTTGCTTGAATTATACAATGTAAATTAACTGAAATAAATATTTAGTTCCCAGCCACCCTGAACTGTCTTTTGAAGGAAACAGGAAGTAGGCATTTTGCAACACACACACCCCCTCCCCCCCAACCTGGCAGAAGTGGTGCTTCTGCAGGAGTTCTGGCAACAAACACTGCCAACACAGCACCGGCCAAGTGGAGATCCCATTTCACAACAGAAGACACTCTCCTGCCCGGCCCGCCTCCTTCACCACTTACTCCTTATCCTTCCTTCCCCACACTGAGCTCTGGGGGGACACGGCTGAAGGATGTGTCGCTGTCACTCCACCCCCAGCACAGGGCCCTACTGTCCAGGAGCACCGCCACCCACTGCAGGCGCACTGACCAGCGGGGCGGGCACTCTGCTAGGTGAAGGGCAGCAGCCAGGCGGGGCGGAGGGGAAAGGAGCGCTCAGACACACTCACGATAAAGCACATGCAGGTAGGTTTTAAGTAAGTGAACACAGAGGCAGGGGATGCTAAGAGACGAGAAATGGGTCACACTGACAGGGCGAGAGGGGCAGAGGGGGAGGAAAGCAGGATCAGCAGTGAAGCCCTCTGGAGCGCTCAGCCCCAAAGGCTCCTGGGAGCAGTCCCTGCAGCAGCTCAGCACTCGCCCTCACCGCCCTCGGTGGGCCTTGCCCACTTTCCTCTCTGGCCTGCTGGTTTGCGAGTGCTAACCCTGCCATCAGCTCCCTCCCCAGACTGAGCTGGTGAGTGTGGGTTCTCCCTAATGCATCCAGGAAAGATCTTTATACTCTCCCGTAGTTAGGGGAGCGGGGAGCAGGGCAGGCCGCTCACTCCCGCCTGTTAGGAGGTGCTCCTCACAGCACTCCAGCAGGAGCTGGTGATAACAGTACCTTGTGGTTTCTTGAGGACACAGTGGCTTCCTATCACAAACTACTCTTTGGCTTTCCAAACTTCTAGCACTGCTCCATGGAGCGGTGATCTTGAAACTGCCTTTTTAACAAATTCCAGGAACATGTACATTTTCCAGAAAGTAAGGAGAAACAAATGGCTGTAAGGTGATTTCTAGGACTCGACTTCCAGACATACTTTTCCCGGAATCAACCTGCCCCAGAAAGCCTTTGGCCAAGTCTCCTTTCCGAGCTGCCCCCCCACAGCTGTTTTCCCACCTCCAGCCCTGCAGGCCCCCACCGGGCAGCGCACTCCGCGCATGCTCCTCCCACCCTGCGGCTCTTTCCTGAGCTCCTCTTACACCATACCCCAAGCCCCAGGGTGCTAGGCTGAGGAGGTTAAGTTCAAATCCTCTCGTGTGAAGTAAATACACTTTGGGCTAGTTATTTAACCTAAGCCTTTGTTCCATCTGTAAAACAGGACACTCGCTGACACCAGAGCTCAGCGTGAGGGAGTAAGAGGAGTCGGCTGGGGAGTCCGATCAACAACGGACACCAGGACACAGAGCATGCGGTGAAAGGTTGTGTTGGCTGCAGAGCTAAGATAGCGTAAGGCCTGGAACAGTGCCTGGCGTGCAATGCACACTCGGTAAGCGTGCGGTGAATTACACGACTGAAGAACGAACAACGTATTAACTCACTCCAGCTGATCTACTCCAGAGCTAGGAGTGATGACTGAGAAGGAAACCGAGAGTCTGGCTGCAGGACACAGGGCTGAGTGGCCCGGTGTGAAAACCCTTCCCCACCTGGGCTTGTCCCTGGAGGCGGCATCAGAATCAGCCGGTTTCCCGCAGTGCCAGGCCCCACCACCCATGCCTCCATCAGCAAATGCCAAGAACAAGCCGACCCTACATCCGCTAAGTCAGTCACCCCAGAACAGGTTATCACAGCCACGCCGTGGTGTGCTCACCTTGCCCTTGAACAGGATCACTGGGCAGACAAAGCGTCCTCTGCACCTGGCGGTCTTGCTGCGGTAGACGAGGTCCTGCAGCTTGCTCACCTGCACGGTGCTCTGGAACCTGCCGCGAGGGCGAGAGAGGCAGGTCAGGCTGGCTCCTGAGGGCTGCTGCGCTCCCACACCAACTCTACCACAAGTATTCATTTCGAATTTAGTAAACGCTCAATTCCCCAAGTTCTAGACCACAGACTGAAGTTTTTCAGGAAAAGAAAAAGGTGCTGTAAGTATTTAAAATGAAGTCATCCTGACTTCAGAACCTTTGAAATGAAGACAGCCAGCTGACCTGAAGACACGGCACACACATCACAAGCACACACAGCCAGCAGCGCTGATCAAGTCTAAGGAGCCCAGCCTCTCACGCAGAGTTCAGCAAAGCACACCCTGGGGCCCTCTGGAAACCACAGAGCCATTTGTGTGCTCTTCCCAGGGCACGGGGGAGATTAAAGTTCACGTTCCACGTGGTCATCAGCCTGTGCTAGCTCATCGACATTCCAATGACAGGCATACCTGGTATTGTTTTTTTCTTTAAACAGGCAGATTTATTGAAATACACTGCTTCGGGGAGCAGTGGCAGGAGAGGTCTGCGGCACCATATGTGGGTTAGCTCCCTGGCTGGGGATCGAACTCAGGCCTCAGTGGTGACAGTGCTAAGACTTAACCCACAGGCCACCAGGGAGGACCCATACCTGGTTTTATTGTGCTTTTAAGAGACTGTGCTTTTCTCCCCCCACAAACTGGCTGTGGCAACCCCACATCAAGCATGTCTGTCTCACCATTTCTCCAACAGTATGTACTCGGCGACTGAGTCACAGCTAATTAAGGTGTGTGCAGTGGTTTTTTAGACATAATGCCACTGCACTTAACAGACTACAGCAGAGACAAAACTTCCATGCACCCGGAAGCCAAAAAACATGTGTAATTTGCTCTATGGAGACACTGGCCTCACTGTGGTAGACTGGAAGAACACACCACCTGGAGGCGTACCTGTCTCCCGAACAGTATGAACAGCCACAGAGACAGGGGAGACACTGAAGCAAAGCTAATTAAAGAGAAGCTCTCGGCGGCACTGAGAAGCGCACTGCTTAACTCATCAGGTTTGGTAAAGGAACTTCTAGAACATGAAGGAGTAGGTTTAAAATTGAGCTCCAGCAATTCACATCCATATCCTAAAATAAGAGTCTACTTTTAAAAATTTATTTATGCATACAGGAACTGGGGTGTAGGTAAGATAGGAGGGGTGAGAGGTTTCACCAGACAGAGTGGGTAGCAGAACAAGCAGATCTACTGAAACACACTGCTGAGGGGGGCCTCCCTGGTGACGCAAGGGGTTAAGCACCGCACCATGAAGAAATCTGCAGCCTCTGCAGCACAAGTTCGATCCCCAGCCGGCCAGGAAGCAAACCCACATGTTGCAGCAGACCTCTCCTGACTCACCCGCTGCTCCCCTCAGCAGTGTATTTCAGTCAGTCTGCCTGTTCTGTTCCCCTCCTCTCTGGTGAATCCTCTCATCCCCCACATCTCTGGCCTATACCCAAGCTCTTGTATGCAAAAACAAACAAATCTTTAAAAAAAAAAACAAAAAACAAACACTTCTGAGGAGTGAGGTCCACTGTGCCATGTGGGTCAGCTCCCTGGCCTGCCAGGGATCTAACATGGTGCCGTGGCTGGCGACAGCTTGATAGTGTGTCTCTAACCCCTGCACCACCGGGAAGCCCAATAAGGGTCAACTTTTAACCGATTCACCTGTCAACCCTTAGCACAGCCTCCAAATAAGTGGGTTGTTGCTTCTGGTAACAAAAGAAACAAGATGCTGGGAAGAGCAGGAGGCTACCCCTGCAGAGTAAACCAGCAGAAGGGAGGGAGATGCTCCCTCTTGAAAGGGTGGCACTCCCAGGTCACCCCAGGTCACGTCCTAGAGGGCATTTAGCTCCTTCTACATCCTCATCTTTCTAGGGAGCCACAAGTTTTGTTGGCACCTCATAAATACAAGCCCACAGAGAGCGCTTTAGCACCTCCCACACATCTGTATAACCTGTTCGGGGTATCTGGCTGCTGTTATAACACAAACACAGGCTTTTCATAGCAGGGTTTCAGGTTCCTTCACAGGCCTAGGCTCCATCCACGTTACTGAAAATGTGCCTACTCTGCAGGGGTGGCCTGAAGCTAGGGCTAACGGGGGTCTTCAAGTGTGCACCTGGGCCAACAGTTTGATGATCCTGGAAAGACATTCAGGGGGCAAAGAGGAGGCTACACTCACCACGGTGTGTTTTCTGGACAGTCTGATTAGGATGTCAGCTTTGTCAACTGAAGAGTTTGTTTTTGGAAGGAAGGAGTAAGAGTGATAAATGTGTTAGGGTGGAATGGCGCTTCAAGGTGCTGAAAAGGTGGCACAGGCCGGCCAGCCAGCTCACAGAAAAGGAGCTCTGCCCCCTGCCGTTCATTTGGTTTCTCAGAAATAAAAAGGCACCTCAGTGTGAACCCCTGCCTCATCAAACCCCAACTCCCTGAGAACATAAGGTACACACGGTCCTGCTCACAGCAGGCCACTGCCCACCTTCTGGTAGCCCCAGGCCATCTCCCCAGCATCCAGGAGCAGCTGACTCTCCCTCAGCTCACCTGATTATCCCAGGTTTAGCACGCCTACTCAGTGAGCTCTCCACACAACTAAGGCAGAGAACATGCCGGAATCTCCCTCTTAGGGGCCCTGAGCAGGCTGCCAGCAGAGGTAGGACACCGTGTGTTAGCGCAGCAAGTGGTTTGTTTTCCTACTTCCCCCAGTTAACCAACCACTTCGGTTTCTGTTCTCAGTGGTTCTTCATTTTATTTTCACTCCTCACTCTTGGGAAGTTTTGCGTGCAGCGCGGAGCTGCATCTGGGACATGACACTCAGATTTGTAACCAAGGCACTGAAATTTCTGGCAAGCTGTTGCCAGGTGGTGAGAGATTTCTCCTGATATTTAACTGAATTTAGCAATTGGGTTTTGTTTTTCCTAAGCATTATTTACATACAAATGAAGCCATATTCAAATTAAGGAAACGGTAGGGTCACAAACTTTCCAAAGGTGAGCCCTCCCAGGCCAGCACTGCACTCCCCAGACAAGGCTGATTTCACTACGTACCCCCAAACTTCCTGAGATAAGTGCTACTTCTGCTCTTACTGAGGAGCTCCACGTGGCCCAAAGCAGGGCATGTTCTCTCAGTTAGTTCTCATTAGCCCCATTTTATAGATGAAACAGCTCAGGGAGGGAAACCACGGGCAGACGGTCCCAGAACAGGCAGCAGCACAGGTGAGGACTCTCCACACGGAGGCAGACACTAAAGCCAAGAGCCACATGAGATTGTGATTTATAGTAAGAAAATACTTGGTCTTCTTCCCCTTTCTGGCACAGAGCTCCAAAACCCTAGACATTTCCAGAGAGGCCAGTGATCAAGGTGTCTTTTGTCACATTAATGAGGTAACTTGGAAAGCCCCCAGGTTACCTAAGGATGGGCCCTGGTCGCCAGGGAACCGAGTGATCAGAAGGTCCTGGAGGTTGAATTAATGGCCAATGGTTTCATTAATGAGTCTGCAAAATGGAGCCCCTATAAAATCCTCAGAGCGCGCCAGGTAAGGAGATCTGGGGAGAGGGGCGCGCCTGCGAAGGCGTGGGAGCTCTGCGCCCCTTCCCATGCCTGCCCATGCGTCTCCTCCATCTGGCCCTCTCACCTGCTAAGCCAGCGCCGTCGGAGAACAGTGTGGGGACCCTCCCTCCCACCACACGCTGGACGCGGGCACAGAACTGCAACTATGACCCCCAGTGCCCGACTTGCCCCGATTCTGGCTCGTCACACTGGCGTTGCTTATTTATTGCCCTGTGCTCCTGCCCAGACCCAAGAACAGGAGCTCCACCTAGCTGGTCGCCGATATTCACCGGTGCTGCTCCTGACTGAATCCCAGGGTCTGCCACAGGGTGGCACCTCAAAGACCAGTCTGGACTGTCTAGTGGTTGCTGCTCAGGCTTGTGACCCTAGATGATGGGCAAAACTGGGGTGGTGGCTTAACAGGGCAGACCACCTCCTGCATCCAGTTCTACCCTATTTAACTCAGTCTGATCAGTGGCGTATGGACACGAAAGCCAGGCCTGTCAGCAGTGAAACTCTACTCCTTCCCACCCGAACATCCACAAATGCCTTCTCTTCAACAAGTAAGCGCCTTCTGCCCGTTATCACTTCAAGGCCTTTAACAGAAGGACACAGTAACTCCTCCAGTGGCAGGGAGATGCTGCAGGGGCCGAGCCTGGAGGGGGAGCCCTGGCAGTGACAGAAAAAGGCAGACCCAGCTTTAACCCTGCTCTGCCCACAACCTGTGTGACCTGGGGCTCAACCCCCTCACCTGACAAGTGGGCGACACCACTTTGTTTACTGGGTGGTTGTGGGCCTGGAGGCGCTAACACCTGTCAAGCAGCAGGCACCCAGCAAAATGTTATTCCTTTCTCTTTAAGGGATGAGACGGAATCAGTTCTGAGCCCGTTCCCTCCAGGAAGAGCTGCTGTGAGGTGCCCAAATCTGAGTTCCTCAGTGTGCTGCTACGCCCAGGGGCCTGTTAGTAAATACAGACCCACAGCTATGGAATCGGGTTCTGTGTTTCAATCAGAGCCCTGGGTAACCCGTCGGTCAGGCCAGAGACACACCACGGAGACACAGCTGGGGCTACGGGTGGCACGCCGCTGGGCAGAGCGACAACCACCAGGCAGCACCGAGGACGACAGAGGAGGACCAGGGCAAGCAAAAGATCTCAAGGTCAGGCACTTTAGTTTCAGGACTTACAGAGGGGAGGTTGCCTAACTCTGGAAGGAGGCAGGAAGACACGATCCATACGTCAAAGGGCATAAGAAGGTATGATTCTGTAGGCTTGGGGACCCCTGGATTCCTTAGGTTATACAACAGAGTATGAGGATAAAATTTCTGTGATCGACACAATTCGCTTTTCTAATACATTCATTTTTCCCAGTGAACCCCATCACAGCCTTGTGAGACATCCCATTTTACAGATGAGAGCCTTCTCTGGCGCGCCGCCACAGCAGGGGTCTCGCGCTACAGAGGGGCTGTCTAAGAATGCAGATTCTGGCAATTTTGACGCAGAGCGCCTGGAAGGGGCCCTACAATCTATAATTTTAATGAATGCTCAGACATATGAACACATTCAGACCACTAACACCTACAAGTCCACACTCCTTGGTCTGGTCATCAAGATCCTATCCAAGTTGGTCTCTAAGACATTTCAGGCAAACTCCGGCTCATCCTTCAATTCTAGTTCAAAAGGATCTCCACCAAGGGGGTCTCCCCAAACTCTAAAGCACAAGTGGAATGACCTACCCTCCCTGATTTGCCTTCAGTGCTACTCAAACCTTAACGGCATGTGAATCACGGGGGCATCTGGTTATACTGTGGTCTCAACTCACTGCTCTGGAGCTCAGGAGTGCGTGTCCAGCCAGCTGCTGGGTGCACAAATGCAGGAAATCTGTGGTCCCCCTCGTAACATTTCAGCACAGGGCCAGGCGGTCACAATACTGTTGCCAACTGCTCTTGCAATTCTCTCAAAATCAGCAGCAAGAAGGAAGACCAGGGGACAGACTTTTCAGATCAACAAAAAGCATTTCTTGGAGTCCCGGTGTCGGGACTGCTTGTTAGTGTCAGCCTCGGCTTTTCTTTCACAGCTACGGCTGCGTCCTGTGTCTGCTCTGGTCTGAACTGCCACCCCAGAGAGCACTCACGCCTTGCTAATTCCTACAACAACCTTGCCAGGCTTCTAACAGTCCTACTTATCAGGGATTAAAGTAACTACTTTTCTAGGTCCAGACAGAGACTTACCGATGAGAAAACTAAGCGATAAAGAGGTTCAGTAACTTGTCCCAAGTTAGTTTCACCGGCACCAAGTAAACTCCAGCAGTCTGACTCTGGACCTCAGGCTCTTAACCTCTACTTATAGTTCGTGCTCTTCAACCTGTCTGCACAGCATGTCTCCCACACACACTCTTAAAAAGGACACTGAGGACCAGAGAGGCGAAGTGTGAAGTTAGCTGTCCTAGGACAAAGAGTTGTCGGGCTGAGTGAAACAGAAGTCCGGGGCTGTGACTGACAGCTCCTCACTCCATGCCATGCCACTCTGCCAGTCTAACTTAACAAGCCCTGAAGACAATAAAGATGCCAATAAGGCTTAATTAACATCCTTGGAAAGTGAGCCTGCCCTGCTCAGCTCCCCACCCAGCTGCACTCGCTGGGCCTGGGAGGAGCACACTGCTCACATGATACTCACGTGTCTTTCTCCTTCTCAGAACTCTCATACTCCAAGAACACGATGTGCTGTGGGTAGTGGCCGCAGATCTCCCCGTTCACATTCTGGATCACGCTGTAACAGTAGTCTCGGCCAAACAGCTCCAGACACCGCCTCTCGATGCGCTCCACCTGCACGGAGGAGACAGAGCATCAGAAGACTGTGGGGTCCCAGTGTGACAATAGGAGGCTAGCAGCCCGCGGAGGACATGGGATGGCAGGTGCCTCCCGTTATCTTCAGTGCTGGGAAGAGACAGGTCCTGGGTCGGGGGCCTTCATGTGCCGTTCGTTTCCCTCATGTGGTAATGACACTTTGGGAGCAATTCTAAATCCCTAATTTTGTGCGTGAAGTCGTGTTGATTTTGTGTGCATTCAAAGGAGCATACAGCTGTCCTAAGAGTCTGAGGAGGGCGGGCCACAACATTAAGAACTCTTGCCCTAGAGGTTACTTTCACTAGCACTAATCCATGATGGTGCATTGGTTCCAGGCCTTTCCCCATTTGCCAGTCACAGACCAGTATCTAGAAGCTCTCATTATTGTAATGAGTAGCAGCTGCAGACAAAGCTGTCTCCTCACACACCATTTTCTTATAAAATAGAAGGAACAGCTCTTGTTTGGCTCACAGTTCCCAGAAAGGCCCATCAGAAAAAGGCGTAAGCCCTGTCACATCTCCAGTCTTCCAGAGAACAGGAAGCTCAGAAGGATTTAAGGCTGTAGTTCAAGTCAGGTGTGACTTAGGACAACCCTAATCTTCAGGGGCCCAGAAACACCACCCACCCTCTCCAGACACTTGAAAGAGCCTTCTTAAAGAGTACGCAAAGCAGCTACAGGTGTTAGGGGGAGAAAACTCACAGTGGCTTCCACTAGGAATCCCCAAGTTTTAAGATGGATGCATACCATTAAGAAGCCTGTTAAAAAATGTAAATTCTAGGTCTCCACCCTCTGAAATTCTGACTCAGTAGGGTTGGGTAGGACCAGTGAAGATTTTTATTGAGCACCCAGACAACGCTGAAAACAGGTGGTCCCTCTGTGGAAGCTCTGAAACACACTTGGTCATTCTGAGGTGGGGAGGTCCGTCATCACTGAAGCCGGGGTGCTGCAGCGACTGGCAGATACCAACTGCAGAACGCCCCAGCGCAGAACCCCCATGGCCCAGGACGGCACAGCATCCCACTGGAAACCTGATGCCAAGCGTGTCACAACCACCTGGGAGAGAAGAGACCCAGGGCCGGCAACATTCTCGCCTCACTGCGGGCAGGGCCTAGGCTGGGGGGTCTGACCAGACTGGAAGCCTTCCAGGTCTGGGGGCAAGGAGACTGAGGAGAATTCCGCGGGCAGAAAAAGAGGAACTGGGACCTGCTTCTGATAAAGGAACAGGGAGCGTGGGCCGTCTTCCTGCGCTGGGGGGAGGCCAGGGCCGGGCCCGAGTCTAAAATCGTGCTGACACTGTATTAGGAGGCAACACACTCGGCTCCTCTCGGGGCGCCATTCCGCCCCCTCACTCCGGCTCCTGCATTCTGACCTCTGACCTGGAGGAATCCTCCGGACCCGGGGGCTTTCGCGCCGACTCCTGAAGCAGGGGAGGAACCTCCCTCGGCTCCTCCTCCCAATCTCTGAACCCGCCGCTCGGCTCAGACCCTTGACCCCCACGCCCTCGTGTCAAACCAGAAAAAGGCGCTTCCCTGGGTCATTCCCACTCCAGTTCCCCCCTTTTCGGCTCCGGAACGCGACCCGGGCCTGGGCCCGGCCCCCGGCACTTGGCTCCGCCGGGCAGGGAAGTTCCGCTCCAGCCTCCCCCGCCCGGCCGCGAGCCTCTCCCCGGGGGCTCCCGGGAAGGGGGCGTCGTGGGCTCACGCCCGCCGGACCCACCTTGGAGCCGCCCGCGCCGCCGCAGTCCCGGGCCCGGTACTGGGTCCGCGAGAACTCCTCCAGCAGCTCCCCGAGCCCCGGCTCCCGCGGCGGCGGGCTGCCCGCGGCCGTCGAGGCCCCCGGCGAGGCGGCGGCGGCGGCCCGAGCGCCGGCCATGGCCCAGCCCCGCGTCCCTCCGGCCCGCGTCCCCTCAGCGCGCCCCGCCCCGGCCCATGACACCCGCGGCGCCGAGCCCGAGTCCGGAACCCCCGCGCCGCCCGGCCGCCGCGGCCCCTTCCCCTTCCGGCCCCGCCCGCGCGCCCGGATGTTTACCCCGCGCCGTCCAATCGCCGCGCGCGGCCCGCGCCCCGCCCCCCGCCGCCGCGTGACGCGCCGGCGCCGCCCCGCGGGGTTTCCTCGGGGAAGCCGGGCGGGACCATCGCGGCCGCGGGGGTGCGGCGGGGCGCGGGCCGGGCGGGACGAACCATCACAGGGAGGGGGGAGCCCGGGGCCCCTGGCTTCGGCCACCGCTGGCGAGCGAGCCTGGGGGGCACCTGCCCGGCTCTGCCCCCCGCGGGGCGTCTGTGACGCGGGCTTCTGGACCCGTTTTGTCCCGCCAGGCTGGCAGTCGTGACTGGCTTCACTTTTTTTTTTTTAAAAAAAGATTTATCCATTCACGCATACAAGAACTGGGGTGCAGGCCAGAGGTGCGGGGGTGGGTGGGGTGAGGAGTCACCAGAGACAGTGGGGAGCAGAACAGGCCGATCTGCTGAAATACAGTGCTGAGGGGAGCAGCGGTCCTCAGCTGCCTGGCCAGGGATCGAACTCGTGCTGCAGAGGCTGCGGACAGCCTCATAGGTTGCGTGTCAACCCCCTGCGCCCCCGGGGAGGCCCTGGCTTGGCATTTTAAGAGAGAAAAGCCATGTTAAAGTGAACAAATCAGTGGCATTTAGTACTTTTACGATGTTTTGCAATCACCAAAACTTGCATCTGATTTCAAAATATTTTCATCAGCAGAAATAAAACCCCAGGCCCCTAAAGCCCTTACTCCCAACTTCCCCTATCAACAGTTTGAGGGTTTTGGGGAGGTGTCACTGACTTAACATGTTAGTTTCAGGTGAACAATATAGTGATCCTGTGATTGTAGGCTTTGTGGACTAATCACAGTAAGCCTGGTTAATACCCTTCCCCAAATAGGTACAAACCTGCTTTTGTTAGAACTTTTAAGATTTATTCTCCTCGCAAGCTTTCGCATATTTAATACAGCATTAGTAACTATAGTCACCATGTTGTCCATTACAAGCTTTGATTTATTTATTTTATAGCTGCAAGTTTGTACTTTTCATTCTACACCCATCTGATCTGCAAAGGCTACCACCAATCTGTTCTCTACCACCTTGTTGTTGTCTTGTTGTTGCTGTTTGCTTTTTTAGATTCTACATATAAGTGAAATCATATGGTATTTGTCTTTCTCTGACTTATTTCACCAAGCATAACATCTCCAAGGTCCATCCATGTTGTCGCAAACGGCGAGATTTTGTTCTTTTTTAAATAGCTGAATAATACTCTGTTGCGTATGTGGTGAAAAGCAATCATAACTGGAAAGCTGTTAAAATAGGCACCGTAGTACAAAAACTGCTTACGCTCCTGTTTGTGCTGGACCAAAAAAGACCTTTGGACTAGATCAAATAGCAGTTGTCTCGCTAGTGTTTGAGAAGCCAGCAGGAGCGCAGGCAATCTAGTGACAAGGACTGATGATTGTGAACTTTTCCCAGAAGATAGAATCAGTAACCAATTATGGATAAGCCACGAATAGTTTAAACTTGTTAATGCTAATTAACCCTTTCCTCTAACCTCTTCCTCTCCCTCTTCATAAAGCCCTCACCTTTGAACTCTTCTTGTAGATTTCTGCCAGAAAACATGTACCCCAAATTGCAATTCCTGATGCCAAATAAATGCTTAATTGACTTTTGCTTTGACTTTTAATTTTTAGATTAAAATATATACCACATTTTCCTTATCCACTCATTCACTGATGAACACGTAGGTTGTTTCGGTGTCTTGGCTGTTGTAAATAAGGATGCGCATGACTTTTCAAATTATTGTTTTTGTTTCCTTCAGATAAATACCCAGAAGTGGGATCGTTGGATCTTATCCTAGTACTTTCTTTAATTTTTTGAGGAATCTCCGTATGATTTCCCACAGTGGCTACGCCAATTTTCCACAGTGGCTACACCAATTTACAACCCCACTTTCTTGTTATCTGTTGCCTTTTTGACAATGATCATTCTAATAGGTGTGAACTGGTATCTGATTGTGCTTTCATTTGCATTTCCACGATGATTAGTGATTTTGACCTTTTCATGTACCTGTTCATCTGCATGTCTTCTTCGAGAAAATGTCTGTTCAGATATTCTGCCCATCTTTTAAATTGTATTGTTTGGGTTTTGCTATTGAGTTGCATGTGTTCTTTATATATTTGAATGTTAGCTGCTTATCAAATATATGAGTTGCAAACAGTTCCTTTCATTCTGTAGATTACTAGCATCTTAGCAAGTCCAATAGTCCGCTGGAGGTTGGATTTCCCCACCTTGCAGTGGCATTGTATTAATGCCACTAAAACAATGGCATTATCTTTCCAAGCCAGGACAAAGCAAAGGGTAAATAAAAGTAATGATAAAGATCTCCATGATGTAAGAATTAGGAAAACAATGATCAGACAGGAAAGGAGAAATGGAGAGAAATGTTCTTAATCGAATATTTTCCATAGATTTTGCAATGAATCTTTCAATGAGATATTTTATGGGATATTTAAATCCCATAAAATTGGACATAAAATAAGCAGGTGTGCCAGAAGGTGGTGCACTCAATTCTAAGAAACTTAAGCATCCCCTTTGTTTAGCTAATCCTTGAATTTCTAGGAGTCAAATTTACACCTGAAAGGGATGTGTCATTGGGCTGGTGATTTTGTAGTGTTTCATAGTGTACCTCATTGCAGGGAAATTTTCTTGAAGGTGGTGGGTAGCCTAGTGTCAATCTAACTTGTTCCTTGACCACTTTCTGTTTTGTGCTAGTGTCAGTCTATCAAATGCAGTGTTGTTGTGGCTGGACCAGTACTTGTGGTTCTTACTATGAGTGCAAGATGCCCGTCGGCTACAACCACCAAGAAACTTTGGGGGAAAGAAGTTTGGTATTTATTAGACTTGGAGATTACACAGCATTCGGTATAATAGCCAGATATTGAGGCTACCAGTAAGAAAAAGAAAATGCATAGACAGGCCTGGAGTTCTACCTTTTTGGGGATTGAGGGAGCACGTCTAGGGTTTAATGAGCTCACTCTTCATTGGTCAATTAAAAAAATAAGAGTGGAGGGCCTTCCTGGTGGCGCAGGGGTTAAAGACAGCGCTATCAAGCAATCAACAGCCACTGCAGCACGAGTTCAATCCCCCCCGCCAGGGAGCAACCCATATGGCGTAGCAGACCTCTCCTGCCTCACCCTCTACTCCCCTCAGCAATGTGTTTCATTCAGTCGCCTGTTCTGCTCCCCACTCTGTCTCTGGTGAATCCTCTCACCCCCCACACCTCTGGCCTGTACCCCAGTTTTTGTATGCATCAATAAATAAATCTTTAAAAAAATATACGAGTGGAAATTTAAAGAGGAAGGAGATAAAAACACAAGCAGGCCAAATGGGCAGTTCTCAAAACCAACCACAGTCATTGAAACAAAGCAGCCTCTGCTGCTGGGGAGTTACTAGTCACCTTGCTGTAATGTGTTTATCCAAGATAACCATCTTTAAAGTGCCTCTTTGAATTAGAGGCAGTCAGCAAGCAAAGCTTAAAGCAAATACTTGTATTACAAAAAAAGAGAAAACCCAGCTGTTAGAACTTACACTGCATTAGCCTAACACAGGAGTCTTAGATGTGGGTGATGAGTGCTCTAACAGCTTTTAGAAACTCCACAGAGGCCACCAATTTGCAGACTTTGGCACCGGAGAATCAAATTAGCAACAATAATCCTTTCACTAGATTTCCTTATAACAGTGGACACCCTAATGGCTTTTAATAGTCCAGATTGTGCCTGCTTAGAGTTTGATGTGCTATTTGGTAAAAACAGTCTGAAGGTCTTAATTTATTTCCCCGTGTTCCTCAGCAATTTATGTTGTGGACTCAAATCAAGGCTTAGCACCCTCGTGACTGCCACGGCAGACTCCCAGCGTAACTTCCCTGGAACCAAAACATCAAGTCAGCTTGGCTCAGAGAGGAACACGAAAGGGCGCAAGGTCAGGTGCGTGAGCCACTGACCCAGAAGCCTCTGTACCGGAGGAGCAGAGAACACAAAGGGCTCAGCAGTGCCTGGGCGGTGCTCCCCAGGGTTCTGAGCAGCCAGATCCCGAGACTGTTAGAAACCATTCAGGAGAACAATTCAGGTGATAGAAACAAACTTTATTTAACATTTCATGAGCTCTACAGCCTCATTCCCAAGGGTCCAGGGGTCTGCAATATGGGTGGGAAGGGGAAACTTTTACAGGATAAAGAGAAAGAACAAGGAAAAGAAAAATGGAAAGTGAATAAGGAACAAGGAAGTAAGTATAGTTGACTCGGCATTTGGAGACGGGCTGGCCAGACGCATTTCTGGTCAGGTGGAACACCTACCGGACCTCGGATACACCTAAGTTTCTGTGTGCTGATGTGGCACCCACACCAGAAGTTCCATCTTGGGTCTAGAAATTTATTTCAATGGTTCTTTAATATATAGAAAACGTTCCATTATAAATGTATATTTAATTATAAATATATATTATATATGCACAAGGTCATAACAAACATAAAAATTAATGCTATTTCTTAATGTGGTCTACAACCTAATGTGAATTTAAATTTCTCAGATTGTCTCACATATGTAATTCTTTTTGTGGTCAAATTTATAAAAAAGACATTTTGGGGAGTTTTAGGTTCATAAGAAAATTGAGAGGAAGATACAGAAATTTCCCGTGTTTTCCTTGCCCTGACACATATGCCCATTACCAACATCCCCAACAGAGAGGTACACGTGTTGCAGGTGATGAACCTCCACAGACCCATCATTTAACCCCGAGTCCATAGATTATATTAGGGTTCACTATGTTGTTGTACATGGCAGGTTTGGACAAATACATAATGAATAATATGTATTTGTTGATATTATTGCAGTATCATTTGGAATATTTTTATGGCTCTAAAAATTTCTGGCAAATTTTTATTTTA